AAAAAAAAAAAAAAAAAACAATTAAGACTTCCCCTGCCGCGCCCTCTTCTCCCTCTCGTACTCGTTGGCCGCTCTCCCCTCCTCGTTCTGCACCTCGGCCACAAGCCTCTTGTACTTCTTCTCGTACTCGGAATCCTTCTCCTTCTTCTCGCGCAGCTGCTCTCTCGCAACAAAGTTCGCATCCTTGCGCAGTTCGCGCAACGCACCCTTTCGCTCGCGCTTGTACTCTGTGCGCAGACGGTTGGCCTCCGCGCGCTCGCGGTCGGGGTCGTAGTGCTTGTCCGGGTTGAAGGATTCCTCGAACTTGGGGATAGCGGTCTTGATGGCTAGCGGCTTGTGGTTGTGGAGGAAGAGCGGGCGGCGGGAGAGACGGGAGTTGGAGAGGTGGGTGGAGAGTTTGTCGAGGGTGGACTGGAGGGGGTCTCGGATGGAGGGGGCTGAAGAGGTGGTGGATTTGCGGAGGTGGTTGAGGACGGCTTGTGCGGGTTCGAAGATCTCGGTGTAGGCGGATTGGCCGGTCCAGAGGTCGGAGGCGGTGGAGAGGAGAGTGATGAAGGTGGTGAGGAGGGAGAGTTTGAGTTCTTCTTCCTTGCCGGGCTCGGGGCCGGTGATGTCCCAGAAGCGGAGTTTTCGGGGTGTGGCTTTCTTGGACTTCGATGTGAGGGCCACTGATTTCTCGGGCTTTCTGATGGGGAAGAAGCCAAGGGGTTTTTTGGGCTCCTGGGGGGAGAGGTTGTAGAGTGCGTTCAGGACGTAGTTGATGAATTCGGGCATGTATCGTTTCGCGATGGCCTGATACTGCAGGAACAGACTGGCTGCGTAGGCACCCGTAGCAAAGTCAGAGAGCGAGTCGATAGCTCCCTGTCCCATGTACCGCGCAATACACAAATGTGCCGGCGTCACAATGGCATGGAAGTGATCCGAGGTTGGGAAAATCGCTGCAATGGCCGTCAGGATGACCAGGTCGCTTGGGGAGAGGTTCAGCGGCCGCTCGGTGGCCATTTTGCGGAGACGAGCCCTGAAAGCCATGTTGACGTTCTCCGGATGGCTCTTGGCCAGCGAGTGGATGTGTCGAAGAATGTTTTCAAGAATGGCGAAAGGCGGATGTTCGGATTGCTCTGCCATGTACGAAACGTGCTGGATGAGGACCTCTGCGAACCGGCCTAGTTTCCGCTTGTTGTCGCTATGAAGACGGGGATGGTGCAGCGCACGAATTCGTTGAACAACCGTCGGGAGATCTGTCACTGGTACGTCCTTGATAGTGTGCAAGAAACTCTCATGGTCCTCGGGACAAGGATACGTGTATGCCAGTTTCTCGTTTGCTTCTGCGCTATCGGCAGGAGCTGAAGCCTCTCCGGACCGGCCCCCAGGAAATGTGAGCCCGTTGATGAGCTCGTCCTCCTCTTCCTCTTCCTCTTCCTCGGACTCTTCCTCAAAGCCCTCAATGTCACTGTCCCCAATCTCCAAACTGGCATCGGATCTGGTCTCAACGAGATCATCATCGAGAATGAAATCGTCTTCGTCTTCGACTCCCATATCAGGACGAGTGTGAATCTCATTCGTAGGTTGTTGCAATCCAAAGGCTTTCGCGTCGTCGGGGATTGATTCTTCATCGGAGTCCTCCTCGTCTTCTGGCTGCTCCTCTTCCTCATCCTCAGATTCACTTAGTTGCTCGCCGCGCATTCTCCGAACTCGATCTTCCTCGAGTTTCTTGAGCCTCTCGGCTTCCTCAGCAATCTTCTCCTCGGCTGTCTTGGTACGATCTGTTGGCTGGGACCGCTTGTCGAAAGTCAATTGCTTCAAGCGCTGGTCGTACTCTTTCTCGTGATTCTGTTGAGAAATGCCCTCTAATACAGCCGCACGTTCAGGGTTCATCGACGAGAAATCGTCCTTCGGAGGCTCCGGTTTCGGTGGCGGTTTCACACCCCTCAGCATGTCGAAGAGATCAGGAAGGCCCTTGTCCAATTCTTCACGCAGGTCAGCATCGTCTTCCTTGGCCTGTTGCCGTTCGGCCTTGTGGAACTTCGACTTGGCAATGACTTCTTTCATGACCTCTTGCTTCGATTTCTTTCGCTCTGGCAGATTCTCTCCGTCTTCAGCCCCATCTACCACAGCTTCACCTTCGGCAAAAACGCGTTTCCTTTTCCGTGGGGTTTCCGAGTCGGATAGACCATCCTCCGATCCCATATCATTGTCCTCAAAGTCGTCTTGCGGCTCGTTGTCGACGTGGGGCTCGCTGTCGAAGGAAAGAGATTGGCCCATATGTGTCAGGGTAAAATCCCCCTCATCCTCGTCCTCCAAGTTGAACATGGACTCTTTGCGCGCCTTCTTCTGGCTTTCCCTAGCGAATCGTTCGGCGGCTCTCTCTTCGGGCGTCATCGTTGGGTCGTTTTCACCGAAACGGCGATCCAGAATACCACCGACTTTGTTTTTCCGGTCCATCTCACGCAGAAGGGTTGCGCGACGCTGTAAGATAAAGCATGTCAGATCACCGTTACTGCGCCATAACTTCGGACCAAACTCACTCTTTCCTCGCCTAGCGACTTGGTAACGCCGGGTCTGGCCGCCGTCTTGGACGCATTTGCGCCCCCGTCGCGGCTGGTGTAATCAAACTTGGCATTTTTCGTCGTCGCTTTGACTTCGAAAGGATTGAACCGGTCTCTGATAGCTTGCAATGCCGCTTCGCGCTGGTTTCGATTCTGCGCACTGGCACCACTCTTCACATTCTGTTTCTTTTGCTTCTTCGACTGCTGGGGACCCAGTACCCCGTTGTCTCGCAGCGAGGCCTTGAGCTGTTTCAACTGCGAAGGCGGCATGATTGACCTTTGCGACGTTGACGTTGAGGCTGGTTTGAATTTTTAGATCGTCGTCCGAGAAGATAAAAATTGCGCTCACCGCCTGGACGGATAGTATTCTGCCGGTACAATGCGGGGACTCGCCGCCTTCGAGCATCATGAATTGTTTGTGTTGCATGCGACCAGTTTACGACTCTATGCGAGACTAAGGATGTCTTTTCAATCGAGTGATAAATTGCTATGGCTATGCCTTGGTATATTTGCCCTTTAGGGATACTAAGAACAATCGCTGACCGTGGCAGGTGTCTCAATATTCTTCGCGGTCCGCGGAATCGCAACAGATCTCCGTCGGGTGCGCGATCTAACAGAGATCAAGCATGTCGAGAAAGAAGATAAGATGATCAGTGAGGGCACGGAAGATGGTCGAGGCAGACTGAATCTCGCATAGTCATTACATTGTCCAGCTAATACATCTTTAGTCCTCAAATTAGACACACTTCTCAAGCTCTCCGAGAGTACAAGTTATGACCTCCGTGCGGCGTATGCTAGTCAGATATAGATGTACTGCGTTACGTTTGAGCTGACCTTCTCAAGGGCATTGCGCATTATCTCGGAGCGAGCTACGAAAGGTCAAACTCGGGATTTACTTCTGGATGACCTCGCGAGCAAGGACCACAAGCGGCGCAGTAAGGCGCTCAATGCCATGTGGTTTCTGGTATCCAATCGAGCACGTATGGCTTCCGCTAATGAACTCTTTGACTTGGGTCTAATTGAGCTTGTTCAGTTTCTCGAACTTCCGTGTGTGTCCGACTAAAAGACTCCCCGACGTACACGGCCATTGTCGATTGTCTGTGCAATTTCCTCGAGGAACATACCGAAGAAACCTGTACTACGGTGTCCCCCATCCTCCCGAAGACGAGACCGCTAGGTGAAAAGAAAGCCCTAGGCATACTCAATGCCATCCTGCAGGAAGATATACCCGCCGCATTGGAAGCCGGAGTACTTAGCCGGTGGCTGACAAAATATCCGTTTCCATGCGCACTGGCCGAACCGTCGCGGCGGCAGGATGTGGTGATTCTTATGAAATCTTGGTGGACAGATGACCCAGTCATGAGTTCAATATTTGGCACACTCTCTTCTCACCCGGATGGAACAAAGCAATTACGGAAACACGGCCTGATGGGCAGCATGATGGAAGAGAACGATGACGACGATGTCGACAGCGATGTGTGGATGATTGATGGAGAAGATACAGCCGGGTCGAGTCGATACTCGGGGCGACGGGTGCGTGAAGGAACTGCAGAAGAACAAGCTGTGCGAAGGCGCCGGAGGGAAGCCATGGTTTTGAGTGACGGGGGACATCCACTTGGGAACGAGGACATAATACAGCTTCCTCTCCAAAGCAGTTGAGATGACGGACTCGATGACAACATTTGTGTGCGCATTTCGTATGATACCCTTTGCTCAAAAGTAAATTATAGCATCTAATGTACAAAAACTTACAATCCTGCCCAAGATGTTTTGGCGATATGGTCCACCTTCTTCCGGCTGTTCTTAACCACACCAAGCGCCTTCAACTCCGACAGCGCTCTGTAAAACAGTGCCATGATCACTCGTTCGTCGCACTTATCTTTTTGATCGCTTTCGAACACGGCATAGAATGCACTCCAGAGATCATGGGCGTTCACAATAGCCCCGGATTCGAGGTAAAGTTGATATAAGATGGCCGTCGCGGGCTGCTTCGCGGAGAGTCTGTTCCCCGGCGTATTCGACATGGACATCAAGTAATCGAAGGGACTAGACAATGCCCGCTCGATCGCGAACCGTGGCCTGGGTGCAAGGGTGTCCTTCAAGGGATTCCTCATGTCAAGGAGGAACACTTCGTACAGGTATGAGTCCTGTGGTCTCACCAAGGTTTCTGCGAAATAGACCTCAAGTGTGGTATGGAAACGGTCAAGGATCTGCGTGTATTCAACATTCTGCTTGGGCTGTTTGGATTTGCTCTTTGTCACTTGGACTCGCTGCTGAACAATGGTGGCTTTCGCGACGGAGTTCCGGCTGTCATATTCACTCCGCAGAGGCCTTGCGTTCGGATATGCTTCCAACAGAGCCTCGAAATCTCCTTGGATTTCGCGCACTTGAGGACTATCTGCCAGGGTTTCTGGAACCATCGCGAGTAGACCTTTGAGACCCTCCGAGTCGAGCGTTTTCATCGTATTTAGAATGTCGTCCACGATCTGCGAGTTATGCAATTCCCCGGAAAGAGCGAGAATTGAGATGTCCGATACTCCGGTCTTCTTGCTGAGATTGAGACGCTTAAGAAAGACATGGGTTAATTTCACTGCTTCGAAGATATTTCGCATTTGCTGTTGGCCCGTCTCAAGGTATTTCGAACATTCTTGGAACAGGTATTCGTCATTTTCTAGCAAGTTCCGCACTTGCTTGGAATGGCCGTCTTCGACTAGATCCTCGCAGAGCCTAGGGTTTTTGGTTAGGATAAACTGGGAAATTCGAAATAAGGATGCATACGTTCTGAAAGATGGTAAATTTCTAACTGCCTGGCAGAGCTTCCCATGGGGCAATCCAGCAGATGCCGAGTCTTTTGAAAATAGAACTGCCAGCGGATTCGCAAAGAAATGGGACATATACGCATACTAGAAGGTATTAGATCGAAGCAGATAAAACGAATCAAGCGCTAGGCATACCTTTACTGTTCGACAAAACGCCTCAGGGGTATGGAAGTAATCGCTCGTCCGTTCAAATAAAACACCGGTGATGCTGCGCCCTAGCCAGAACTCTCCGTCCGGTTCGGCCTGTAGCCTTTCGTATATACGATCCACACAGTTGCTCGCTTCATGGAGCTCAAAGTATTTGCCTCTAAGTAGCGCAACACTGGATCTTGGAAGTCTTCCTTCGAAGAGCTCGACGGATGTTGAGATACCAAACAGCAGCGTAAATGGTATCCGATCAAGCCACGAGCTGAAGCTTATTAGTATGCTTATGTCCATGGCGACGTAATGGCAAGGCTCACCTCAGTAGTGACAGAAGATCCGTCAATAGGTTAGGGTCAAAAGCCTCGCTATCTCGAAAAGCGAGAACTAATTTCGTCACTCCTTTCCGTTGCACATAATCGCTTAGTAGATCAAGGTCGTATGCAAGTAGCCTTGGCCCCTATGTTCAGAGTTAGTCTCAAGTCGCAGCGCTTCCTTAAAAGGGCAATCCTACTTCACGGTCAGTGAGGAAACTCTGATAGCCATCATTTCCTTCGGTATTTGTGACAGCCGCTCGAATGATGTTTTTCAAGGTCGTCTTAATGTTGGGTGCATCGCCGGATTCCAACACGACCACGCCTCCCTCTCCACTTGTTAATAATCTCTCGTTGAGTCGCGTCACAAGTCGGCCGAGGGAAGAAACGTTGGACCCGACGGTTACCAATGCGGACGGTATACAGCCGTCATAGCTAGAGTTGTCGTTAGCATCCATTTCATGTTATCCTTAAATGGGCGCAGGCTTACACCTGAGCCGAGGACTCTTTGACGAAACTCGACACTTCCTCAAGTATTTTGGAGTCGACATCCTCCAATACTTCCTGAACCACGGTCAGACATGCATTCATAGGCCCTCAACCAGCTCGATTCCTACGAACCTGAATCTTCGCCTCCTGTTTGGACCACAGTCGTTGATAGGCGTTATATCTCAAACCGACCGAGGATGCGCTCTCTTCTCCGTTCAAAAGCGGCACGAAAGGACAGGCCTGGGTCCCTTGGACTTTCTTCTCCTGTTTCTCCTGACCATCCGATTCGACCTTTCGCCGCTTAGAGGGACGTTCGTTTTGGGGTTTGTTCGGTTTCGCATTCGCAGGTCGGTAGATGTAGACACCCTTTGAACTGTTGTCAGCGCGTGTTTTCATGTGATTCGTATCAACAACATACCTGGGTATTCAGGCCATCCCGGGACGAGTCCGGCGCCTCAGTCTCTAAAAAATCCGGGTCCATTGTCCTGTATGAATTGCTTGAATCGGTTGTTGTTCTGTCGCAGTTCTGGACGCTTTGGCGGAATCGGCGCGTTCTTGCGCTAAACCCGATTGGGTCGTAATTGGTTTTTCGCCGCGGAGCTCTGCGTTCATACTTGAGCAACTCTACTAACAGCTTTTGCCTCGCTATTCCAAACCCTTTATACTGCATACTGTCCGATGATATAAATTCGCACTTATGCTCCGCCAAGCCGCTCAAGGAGCTCGGTGGTATCAACATGTGGCCCGCAGAAGTCCGTCGATTCCGTCTCTTCATTTGCCACGGACACTTCTTGTCGTAACACGGCGTTCTGTTCACTATGGCGGTCCTGACGATAAGGTTCGCTTCTACGAGCAAGATACGCCCGGAAGCAAAACAAGGAGGAAAGTTAATCCCGAGGCAGAAGAGAGCGTCGAGCGGGGGGAAGTGGAAGAGAAGCTCTCCAGGGTTCAACAGGAACTGCGGATTCTGGAAGAGGGCCCCTTTGGTCCCAATGGCGAGTTTATGAGGAGCTTGCCCGAAAAGGATAGGGCCATTGCTCTCGAAGCGTTACGGAAACATGCGGTGCAAAGAGGCCAACAAGATACCGACGGTGGACTTGACCAAGTCTTTGACGAGGAACTGGATGAGATATTGCGGGAAGAGTTTGAGGGGTTTGCGGAGGAGGAGGAAAATTGGCAAGCGCACAGGGAAGACGGCGAGGACGAAAATCCAGTGGTCACAAAGCCTTATGAGGTGGTGCTGCCAGACGAGGAGAGTCATTCTTATATCGATAGATTCAACGAACGCCTGGACCAGTTCACACACAACAAATCCAACGAACCGTTGAAACAGGAGTTATGGAAATGGTACCGTCGATGCAAACAAGTGATTCCGGGATTCTTAGAAGCGGTGCCGGAGGAGGCTAGGTCTTTAGTATGGGATTCCCAGATCTCCGGTCAGATCGCGAAGGATGCGCGAGCAGCGCATTTGCAGACTTTGGCCGAAGATGCGGCGATCACCGGCAGAAACCTGTCCACTCTTCATACTATTTCGTATATCCAGTCGCTTCACGAGGGTGGCAAAACGAACCAGGCCTTGGATCAATGGGAGACATACCAGAATGAGCTTAGCCAACGGAAGGAGGATCTGGAAGCATACTGGAAACTCGGGGTGCGTCTTTTCGCAGCGGAGGATAACCCTCAAAGGGCCCAGGACATTGCTCTGGCTTTTCTAGCAAATGACCAGACTCGCCAGCCTCGCATTCTCAACTCCGTTATTGTGGCCTGGGGACGACAACCCGAGCAGGAAGCAGAGATAAAAGCTTGGGCGCTGTATTTGCAGCTTAAGATTTTTCTCGGTCCTGATATGACCATGGAAGACTACGATCATATTAGCATTGGTCTTCTCAAGGCGGGTAGATTTGACCTTGCTATCGCTGTCTTCAAAGATATGATGGTGACGGGCAAAGACCCAGCAGATGATTCGACCACTTTGTACAAATCCGCGGTAGGATTTGCAGGCAACTTACATGCATCCAGCATTAGCGAGCGGCAAGTGAACAGAGTCTCACTATCTACATTGACTTTGATACCTCGACGGTTCCAAAACCGCTTTTTCTACGCTAGTTGGATGAAGAAACTGATTGGTATGGGAGAAGTGGACTCCGCGGCATCGGTCATCGAACTGATGTACGAACGAGGCGTGAAACCGGATTCAAAACACCTGAACGGTCTCATGGCGGCCTGGCTCCGCGAGGGAAGCCCATCAGCTAGGACAAAGGCTGAGAGCTTAGCATGGACCATGATCCAACAACGGATTGATCTGGTCTGGGACCGGGAGAAAATCCCCGGGCAGGCACCGCGGTTATCGTTGAACCAGCAGGCGGATCCTCGGGTCCGTATACCAAAATGGATGCAACGAACAGTGCCACCGGGCAACATCGAGACATTCTCGATTCTCCTCCTCTATTACACCCGCAAAGGTGACGACGATATGACGGGCTACCTGATCAAGCGTCTGGCGGATGCACGAATCAAACCGAATTCGTACTTCATGAACCATCTCCTATACGCTGAGCTGCGAAGGCAAGACCTCCGCACTCTCTGGCAAAAGTTCAGAACTATGTCCGCCACCACCCAACCCGATCTAGAGACCTACGCCTGCCTCTGGGACTGCGGCAAGCTACAATATGACCGCGGCCGCACAGCATTCGAAGCAAACTTCCCAACCGCTCGCCAGCTGTTCGCCGACATGGTCACATGGTACACCAACCTCTCCCCGCGCGCCAAATCCGCAACGCAGAACGAATTCTCCAAAGACCTCTACGACCAGATCATCCGCTGCTTCTGCTTCTCCAAAGACCTCCCCGGCACCCTAGTAGCACTCCACACCCTCCGCACAACTTTCAACGTCTACCCAGACGACACAACCGCACGTTTGATCATCCTCCAAGTCTCCCGTCTAGCAAGCGTACCAGCCGATACACCCAAACGGCGTCTCCGCCGCCTCTCAAGCACTCCGCGCAGCAGAGAGAATATCAACCAAGTCCAGCGCCTCGTCGACATCCTGAGTCGACGGAAAGCCGCTGCGCTTGAAGAAAAGGGTCCGAGTCTTTCCAACATGGACCCGCAAGAACGGAATGAGTGTCAGTTAGAGATCATGGCTGACTTGCTGCGGATTGTTATGGGACGTGTGGGCGACCCGAGTGAGGTGGAAGGCTGGGTTATGAGTGTTGCTGGTGAGATGGGTGCTTCGGATGTTGATCTTGGGACCCCGTTGGGGGAGGAGAGTAGGTCTCTTCTGTGATACGATTTTTTGGTTTGACTTGGGTGTTTATTGGGCTGTATAAAAGCGTGTATTGTATATCTCACGTCTAAAGCATATTCTGGCGTTTTGAAGAACGAGGCTTTGTACATAGGGTTATGTATATTTAGACTCTCAGCTACTGCATTGACGACTTGTTTATATACTTTGACTGAGTATAAAATCACATTCTTAAAGCATATATTCAATACAACTAAGAACAGAAAAGAAGTTCACAACCTATCTATTTCTTCCCCTTCTTCTTCTTCTTCCCACCCCCAGGCGTAGTGTTTCCCGCTTGCCCAGCAGCCTCCACCAACACTGCATCATCATCACTAGCCACCGACGGCGCAGTCGAAGACTCAGGCGTCTTCACACCAGCCGTTGAGCTAGTCGGGGTAGTAGTCGTGTTTTCGGTGGTGGCGTTGGCACCGGAAGAAGAGGACGGACGAGGAGGCTCGGTCTTGGTAGTAGTGGTTGTAGTAGTAGAGGAACCCTCGGCGTCCAATTCCTTCATGAAACCCTCCTGGATATTGGCCTTCTTGCGGTCCCACCATTCGCGCTCTTCGGCGAGTTTGGACTGGTGCGTTTCAATACGTTGGCGGATGATGTTGTTATTCATCATTTCGTTGGCGGATTGGAAGATTGTTTGGCCCCAGTTTGGTGCGTATGCGTTTGCCTTTCCCACCACAGTTAGCATCTCTATGCACTCCCCCAAAAACACAGAAGGGGCTAACCTCAGAAACAACATCCCTAACCTCATCCTCCATCTCCTTCTCAGCCCTGATAAACCGCTGCCACAGATCATCACCCACACTACCCCTCTGCAAAAGCATAGCGAGTGCTTGTTTCTGGCTCCGCAGCGCCAACACCCTGTTAATATCCTCCGTCGCGCGTCTCAAGAGCGCAGCCTTAAGCACCGACTCCGGCACCGCGGCCTTTTTCTCACTGTTGTCTTTGGCGGGCTGGTCGAGGTGCAGGAGGGAGAAGTAGATGTCGCGCTGGAGGTGAGCGGGGAACCATGGTTCGAGGGAGGAGGCTTTTTCTGTTGGAGTGCTAGTTAGCTATATATATTCTTTTGTGCTTTTGGCTTTTGGGCGGGATCGAGGGGTGACGTACGGGCCTTGCGTTTGCGGTATAGCGAGGAAAAGGTAGCGAGGGAGCCGATTAGGACGCCTAGGTAGGCGAACGGTATGGCCAGACTGACCCAGTCGACCATGGTGAATTATTTATTCGAGTGTTCCGGTGTTCAGTGCAACGGGGTGTTTTCTCAATAGCGGAAGTCGTGATGTGTGTAGATCTCAGTGGATCATGGCCAATCGTGGGCGGAATGGAAATCTCTGCACAAGAGAGAATAACAACAAGTATGAGCTCTGGAATAAACAGCGACTCCAGGGAACTCCAGGGAATTAAAGAGGGAAGTTGGCCGGCGCAGAGGTGTTAAGAGGACAACGCGAGGCAGATTCAAGAAAGGCCAGGCTGGTGTCTTAGTCAGCCTCGTGCAGGGTGTAGTTAATTAGTTAACTAGTTATTGTAGGTTCTGTCTACGAAAACTTTCGAAGAAAGAAAAGGAGAAAAGAATACAAGTAATGCCTCTATGAATATTCACATTTTCAACATACAAAACAACCCACAAGTACAAGTTTCGAAGGAGACATCCTCCCACAATCGCTAGGAAACAAACACATCTATCTAGTAGAAGATGCACGCCAGAAGATACACAAATTTCGAGGAAAAGAAAGCAAAAAGAAAGGGAGTATCATAATAGCCCACCATCACCTCATTACACTTCCCATGGCCAATCTCATGCAACAAATGTATGTCCTAGTAATGTAACCCAGCCAGTGCCATAGTAAGAAAGCCAAATCAATGAAGAAAGGAGAATAGAAAGAAAGACCGGTCTTCATCTATCATGAACTGCATCGTATCAGCACCGGCTTACATCTGGAAACTCGGTGCCTCTCCCAACCGCTCCTTGGTCTCTTGGCTGATATGCCCGATCTCCTGCATTTCCTGCATGTCCTCCAGGACCGCGTTGAAGGTCTGGACGATCCCGGCGACCACATGGGTACGGTTCCATTCACCCCGCGTCTGCCACACGTAGTCCATCAGATTGGTGTTGATCTGTTCCAGTTGCTCCACGGAGCACCCGCTAGTGCGTTGGGTGAGTTCCTCATGCAACTGGTTGATGTAATCGTGGTCCAGGGTCAGCTTGGGGGATTGGTCTTCGTCGTTGAGCAAGTCCTGGAGATTGGGAGGCGCATGTGGCTGTTGTTTGTTGGGGGCGTCGAAAAGGGGCACCGGCGGTTGCGCCTGGGCCTGGGCCTTTTGACTGCCGCCGTTCAGGAGATGGGCATTGTCCGCATTCGCACGTGGAGACGGCTGGCTGCTCGCTTCTTGCTGCGTGTCCGGAAGGTGCTCCTCATACGACGAACGATCGGGGTATTGAGTAAGGTCGGGATAATCGTGTCGGCCACCTGGGCCTGTCATCGGACTGTGAAATGAGTTGTTCTGTTGAGCAGGCTGGTGCTGGTTCTGTTGATGCTGAGGACCAGACGATTGCTCGGACTTCTTCTCATCCGACGTCTGTGTGGTGGATGCCTCATTGGTGTAATCAAGTGGCTGCGATCCAGGTGCCATGGGAGTCATGGTCCCCCTCTGTGACAGATTCAACAGGCCGGACTCGCGTCTGACTTGCTCGGAAGGCGCGGTATGCGAATGCGGCGGCTTAGTCTGTGCAGACGGGCCGAACGAGCTGTCCTGTGTATCCCTTCCACCAGATTGGTCCTCCGAGTTGGTCATGTAGGTGTCTCCATCACCGTCCCCGTCACCATGCGAACCGTTGCTCATCACAGCCTGCGTGCTGAGATCATTGAGATCCGACCCTCCGCCATAACCGTTGGACGTAAAGCTTACAGCGAGACGGTTCCGCGAAGGCGTCACTGGCGTATCCGGCTGTCCAGGTGGCAACTTCGAGCCACCTTCACCATCGGTAAACGACTCGCCCAGATTGACAGGACCACTGGTCACAGTCGACTCGGTATTGCCATGCGGTACCTTGTTCGCCTGCGCAAAGGCTTCCTCTTCCTCCTCCACCCTCCTAACTCGTTCCATTGCGATCTTCTCCCGCTCCAATTCCCGCAGATAGACCTGCTCGCATTCAGTCACGAGAGCTGGTTCTGTCTGCTCAATGGTACCGACATCGACTTCAACATTGGACTGAAGTTCATTAGCCCTCAGTATCCGCTCCTGATCACCGACTTGCTTGGCATCCTTGGCAATCCGTTTGATATCTGCAAGGAAGTCCTTGGGCCGCTTATAGAAACCGTTGGAGAGTCGCTTCTCAATGGTAACAATCTCCATGTTGTAGAAGAACTTCCCGGAGACCACCTCCCGGAGACCAAGAACCCCGTGCTTATCCTGAGCCTTCTCGAACGGCCGGAAAGTCGTCCGCTGCTCAATAGGCAAATCGCTGGTGAGGATATTCGGATTGTCTTCCTCCCACAGATACCGAATCTGGGACTCATCTATCACACCGGTCCTGAACCTCTTGTACTTCTTGATCTGGTCCATAATCGGCTGGATGCGGATTTTCAGGAAATTGAGCGTCTGGTGGTCCTTCTTCTTCTGCGCTTTCAGTTGTTCCTTCGTGAGGGGCGTGGCAGGCTTGGGAGGTGGCGGCGGCGCAACCTCCAGTCTCTCGAGTTCCCTTTTCTTACGGTTCTCAGGATCGGGGAATTCGGACGGCGAAACCTTGAGGTAATCAACCAGCTGCGCGAAGAACTCATACCGTGCAGTGTGATTGGGGGCCTGCAGTTCGAAAAAGTTTCTCTTTGAGAATCCAAACAAATTCTTTACGATTGAAGGAGGTTCCTTCTCATCCTCTTCTCCCATCGACTCAAGAACGCCAAATACCAAGACAGGATCACTGGGCGGAAGCGAACGCAGGAGTCCCAAAAATGTGGAAATCACGGCTCTGCCCACAGTCTCATCATGCCAAGCTGAGATACTAGGGACGTAAATCACACTCGGCTTATGTCTCTTGACTTCCTGGAAGAGTTGCACGACAGCAGCTTCCGCGGACCGAGTAGAGTCACTGAGCAGGGTTGGCAGATCGAAAGGCTGAACGTGAAGTCCCTCAAAGTGGTGCAAGATAGCAGACGCCAGGTACTGCTGGCCCATTCCTTGATGCCCACGGAGGAGCATCCGAGGTCTGAAGACCCGTGACCGGTCGAATTCCTGCTGCATGTGCTCGCGGCGGAAGCTCCCTGAGGTCTCCGGCTCCTCGAACTGAGCCTCCTCCAAAGCAGTGAGCCTCTTCCGCGGGGGCAAGATTTCGGACAGCTGCTTCTGGATTTCCGCCAAGGACCGTCGTAATAAGGGCTCCACAGTCTTGGGCAGCGGAGAAGCACCGGAAGTTGTTGACCGCTCGGATGAGGGGACCATCTGTTTGGTCGCCAGCATGAAATCCTTTGGACTGACGCTGATCGACTTCGGGTCTATGATGAGTTTCTCATCAGATTTGTAGATTTGGGGGTATCGTCTTTGGACTGCGTTCAAGGCTGCTTCTGTACAAAGGGCGCGCAGGTCCGCACCTCCATAGCCCTTGGTGATTTCGGCCAGTTCGTCCTTGATGTCTTCCGGCAACGGCGGATCCCAGCCCTTGGTATGAATGTTGAGAATCGCTCGTCGACCTTCCTTGTTAGGTAACGGGAAGTAGAATTCACGGTCGAAACGCCCAGGACGGCGAAGAGCTGGGTCAACAGAGTCCGGTCGATTCGTAGCACCAATGACAATCACTTGACCACGACCGTCCATGCCATCCATCAACGCGAGCAGAGTCGAAACGATGGACGCGTGAATCTGTTCCTGTTTGCTTGATCGCACGGGAGCCAGACCTGAAACCAATTAGCATACCTCCTAGCAATCATATTAGTTGGTCGACTTACCATCGATTTCATCAAAGAAGATGATACTGGGCTGAGTCTTGCGCGCTTCCTCAAAAAGCAACCGCAGCTGCCTTTCAGCTTCACCCACCCATTTACTGAGTGCATCCGCTCCCTTCCTCATGTAGAACGTCACCTTACGCCCTTCAGAACTGACACTGTTTGCCAATGCTCGAGCAAGCAACGTTTTACCCGTACCAGGAGGTCCATGGAAAAGTACACCCCGTGGAGGAACGATGTGAAAACGCTGGAAGATCTCAGGATACAGCAGCGGCAGCGAAACCATTTCCTTCAACTGGTCGATATGACCCTGTAGTCCACCGACGCTGTCAAAGTTGACCTTCAAGTCAACGCCCAACGGGTCCGCATCCGCCAACGTTTGTCTATCCTTGACCTTGCCGAGGTTCCCGGGCGTCCCTGAAGGGCCTTGCACCGGATCAGCACCATGGGCCTGCGCGGGAGCACCTGCCGCACCAGGCTTGATAGGTTGGATGGCCTCATCATCGCTGCTATCACTGTCCACCCCGCCTGTGGCTACGGGCGCATCGGGGCCAGCCAAGATCGCAGATGGCCCGGCGCCTCCAAAGGGGCCATATGTTGGGAAGAGCGTGCGTTGCCAGGTACCACCACCGCCTCCTCCGCCGCCTCCCCGGCCGCGCCGGGAGGGAGATTCGTTGACTTCATTCTCCTCTTCGATGGGCAGGAAGATATCAGGACGGATGATTCTGTAGTCGACGTCCTTGCGATTGCGACGGGGTTTCTCGTAGATAATCTCTGGCTGCATTCTCCGACGGGAGCGACCTCCTCTGAGATCATGTAGTTCCTCAGCAAGTTCATCGGCAATGTCTGCTGCTGCCTCCGACTGCCCACGGGAGCGAGAAGCCCTCTTTCGTAGACCCGGGCGCCGGCTTGTGTAGTCTCCGTCGTCGTCGTCATCACGGCCCTTTTGGGGCGAGGCTTGAGACCTTCCTTCCGACTGCAGTTCCTCCTCGTCATTCGAGTCCTCTTCCGGTTCGAAATCGCTCTCTTCATCTTGGCCCTTGCGCTGGGAACTGCGAGGGGGCTTCTTGCGGCTGGAGCGACGAGGGTGTGACGCCTCCTCTCCTAACCGGGGATCCTCTTGATTTGGTTGTCTATTTCCCCTAGTCCTTCTCCGGGTAGTCGGACCTTCATCGCCATCGTCCTCGTCGTCCTGTTGGTGTTTCTCATCGCCATTCTCGGATTCGGGGACGAAGCCGTCTTCTTCACCTTCGGGGTTCGTTTTTGCGGGCTCCACTGCGGCAGGTGCAGGCTCTTCAAAGCTACCATGGGCGCTTTCCTGGATTTCGAGCTGAGAGCCCTTGATCTCGGTCGTCGTCTCGTCAACCACATATTCCTCGGTCTTGTCATTGTTATGGTTGTCCATTATAGTGTTTTCCTCCTCCTCCTCCTCCTCCTCCACGATGACCTGCTTCAAACCTCGAGTCTCTTTGGACGGACGACGACGATGCGCTAGTGGTGCCTCGGCCTCAGGACTGCGGGTCGCCCGCTGCACGGTCTCCATATGACGTCCGGAATTAGTAAGGGCATAGATTTCTTCAGATTCAGCGCGCATTCGCCGGGTGATCCTGCGGTTGCCCTGATTCTGCTGTTGTAGAATCTCGTTCTGTCGCTGGAGAGTAGTAGGGTTGATTTTTAGTTTAATCACCGTGCTCTTTTGATTTTTCGTGGGAAGAACCGGTTCTTCTTCTTCTTCCTCGCCATGAGCATCAACATCATTGTCTTGTTCCTCCTCATCGTCGGAGCTAGTTGGGCCTTCTTCGTAGGCCGGTCTCTTTGTTGTTGCCCTCCGGGCGACGAGACCCCTCGCATTCCGCTGAGCCATACTGTCATCTTCTAGTTCCGACTCGTTGAAAGAAAGGTCTTCAGCATCGCTTAAGATCTCGTCATCGGATAAGATATCGTCCTCCGAGTCACGGCGCTTCCTTCTCGCGGTCTTGGGCTTTTTCGGTTTCGATCTCGAAGCAGCTACTCGTGATGAACGTACAGGGTGGTCGCTGTAGTCACCGTCGTCGGAGTCGGACTTGTTTGCCAGAGCCATTTCGTCGAGGGAGCGCTTTCTGCGAGGCATGTCGCGAAGTGGACTGGAGAGGAAGAACTCCATATTAGTAGGTTCGTGAGATGAGAAATAACACTCTAAGAAGTAAAAAATATCCGTATAGCAGCTATCGCGCCCGCGAGAGGGGAAAGAATGAAGAGGAGGGGACTGTCTCTAAATGACAGCAAGGAGGATTTAAAGAAGGGCGACTCACCACTTATTAAATCACCAACGGGCGCAAGGCAATTGTATGCAGGGAACAAAGAAAGCAACAAACAAGCACCTCCCAATTGACTAGGGAACAATAATCAAGAGAGCTTGCTTCATAAAGCAAACGGAGTCGGATTGTTGCTTCGAATTCAAAAACACCCACGTCCAGTATCAAATATGGGGCCTCACGGTGTGGCCGTCGAGTCGATACACTCTAGTAAAGGTTATATCGGATGAGTATATCGGTCGCAATGCGCCAACGTCTGTCTGTTCGGTTGCCAGAGGGAGTGAATAGTAACGGGGACAGACCACCACCAGAAATGGGGACGCGTCTCAACCTACGGGGAATTAGCAAAAACCCAAGCAAAACAAGCAGTAGAGAACAATAACACCAACGACAATCAACAAGCATAACCAACTTACCGAATAAATCAAATGCGATCGCAGACAAAACAGCGACAAGAGCAGCTCAACGTTGACTGATTGGACTCACTGACTCTCGCTGTGAAGGGCGGAAAGACTCGCGCCGATTCACCAGCCTCAATCGGTCCGCCCTGCGCCACGACTAAACCACAACGGGCTAGTGCGGCTGCTGAAGCACGTGCCATCATCAACTCGGAGAGTCAATTGTGTTAATCTGTCCCCTGGCCTCAGTCTCCCCAGTTCTCCATAAATAGGTAGATAAGGGTAAGGAGAATATAGAAGTATGCAAATACCCATATTCAAAAAGACTTAGGGTCATCTCCATAAAAAAAAAAAGCCAGCACGACACTCCCAAAGCCGACGAAGGGTCGAAGCGAACACAACAACAAATGTCAGAAAATGAAAGTGGAAAATGTCAGGATCCAGGAACCGTTAAAAAAAATTCCAGGGCGCGGATCTTGAATCGATCCGAGTGGAGTCCAGACTTGATGTGCGGCTCGATCCGTGCAGACCCTAAAGCACTGTCTTGTTACCTGACCAGCTCCAGGAAGGCATCTTAATCAGAGGACTTGCACTGTTGAGAAGGAATTGGAGGTGTTTACGACTGTCATAGCTGCAGGGGAGCCCTTAAATGCCCTCCGCGCATGTTCCCCATTCGGCTCCGGGGTTTGTACTCTGACGTAGCAGACTTCATTACTCCGGACACTGGGAAAGCGGTGAGGGGTAAGAGAACATGTTTATCGAGACCAAATCATCGTTGCAGTGCGATCATTGTGCAGACATTCCAGAGTAGATTCAATGCTATGTTCGTCGGACCATTCCGGTGTACAATCAAGCAATACATACATAGTACAGTTCTCTACCATGCCCATTATCATCAAGTATATCCTTCAATAACATAGAACTACACACTACTCCGTACCCCGACCATAACCAGTCGACGATCTACGCTAAACTTCAGAGTAGGGATGGCCAGCACACGTGACGCTGACTCAATTCTTACTAACACACATGCCGCCAACCAAAACCAACCTCATCGGTTCTCTATAACATTAGACCTGGAAGAGCAAGAATAATTGTCTAATCCAATTGATTCATCATGTTCACACGGATACCAAGCACAGTACGATCTATCCGTCCATCCCGGGTACTTCAACAATTATCCGCCAGAAGAACATTATTCACTACCCTTCCTCGGAATAATGCACCATCACCACCAAAAGAGCCCAGTTCGTATAAAGATGGGGTAAGCTACTCTTTATTCACTTTTATAGTGTATTGTGAGCTAATAGTACTGTGGATGTCGCGGTATAAAACCTTCGTGAGCCCGTTCGCCAAGGTGTTCCTAGGAGCTATCTTCACGTACCAGGTGATTTACTGGACGTGGTTGAAGTTGGAGACGGATGAGATCAAGGTTGAGAAGAATAGTACGTTCTCTTTCTATGCTCCGAGTAATGGGTAGTGACTAATAATTGACAGAAGAGGTTGCAGCATTGGAGAAAAAGGCTAGAGAATTGACGAGTACGGCGAAATGATTGCATTATTTATGTTTTTTGTTTGTTGTATTATGTCTGAATTTGATCATCGGATTCATAAATCGTGGAGCTAACAACTGATTCACACTGTACAATGTGGGTAAGAGTATATATATAGATATATATATATATATCTAGCAGACGAATCCTGAACCGTAGCGCAAGAAACTCCAAAGCAGAAACAATATTAACCAAACAGTTCCGGAACCGGATCCAAACCAAGATCGTACTCCGTGGAATCACAATCTGAGTCCTCGACAGAGTTTACTCTCCTGGACTTCCGGGAAGCAGAACCAGGGCTGACTCTCCGTCTCTTCTTCAATCCAATGTCATTCCGTTGCACAGAAATGGCGTTCCTCGAACCGTCGTAACTCATCCGGTCCCATAGGCAAGTGCTGCGAGAGCTGTCGTTATCGTCATCGTCATCATCTTCATCATAATCCTCGTCACTCGTTGCTCGCGTGTCGTATTCGATTTCGTTGTGTTGTTTTTTCGTCAAATGTCCTGATAATGGTAGCCAGTCACCAATGCGCTGGCCCTTCTTAATGTGCTGAATATCGATATGGTTGAATCGCTCATTTCTCGCCGCCAGACCACGGCTTCGGAGAGGTATGATATCCCGACAAAACCCACACCAATACTGTTCTTGTCCATTCGGGTCAAGATAGCTGTTTTTCATGGCCATTTGCACGACGTCCTCATCGACACAGTGTTGCTCCCGTAGGTGCTGCACGTATACCTCCTGTTGGTCGAATAAGCGGGCACATGTCATATGGCTATTGTCCGGGTCGGACATGGTACAGCGCCATCCTTGGAAATGAAAGTGCTGCGAGCTCTCGTGCCGCTTCCAATCAGCCTTGCTGCCAAATGTCTTGTTACACCCATCGAATGTGCATCCGTACGGCCGCTCATGGCGTTTCTGATGTTTCCTGGTTATTGTTAGCATTTTCATCCGTTCAAAAGTGAGAGGATGCTACTTACTTCATTTCACAGCGCAGCCTTGTGCGCTTCGGACAATTATCGCACGTGAACCAACCCTCCTTACCAGCCTCTGGTTGCGGATCCGAAGCAACTCTACTAGCGGATTGGTCGGATGACAACTGATCCAACGCGGCAGCGAAGATCTTTTGAAGTAGCTCTTTCTTCCGGCCACATAACTCCGAATTTGGATCCATCATGTCAACTCCTTCATCCAGTTGCTGTTGTTGCCTGTGTTGGTTGCGGTCCATGAGCTTCGACATGGCGTTGATTACGCTCCCCGCAGCTTCGGTGACACTGGTTTTCACATTCGTATCCCTAGCAGTCTCGGTAGAACGGATGCTGTCTGCTCTCATTCGTGGAGGTGGCTGATATTTGGACTTGAATAGCGGTGACTGAGTCGCTGCTTGGTCATGAAGGGAAGACTGCATCGGAGGAGCAACAGGACTGCTCTGAAGACTCGCTAACCGATTACTGGATTCACTGATCACCGTTTTTGAACTCTCACTTTTCAGCGACCATTGAAAGTCCGAGCTGGTAACAGTTTGACTTGGGATGACGGCAGTGCAACCATCCTGTTGCCCAAAAAATCCCATATCATTGCGTGGCAAACCATCGGGCATTGTCTCTTGCGTTTTGGCATATTCTTGGTACCATTCTTCGGATCTAGACCCATGTCTTAGTCCCTTTGCCGTGCTTACCATGAGGGATGGCCGAACTCACTTCTTCAACAACTCCGCAGCATCCTCACCACCGTGCATCCGCGTCAGATGCTGTTTGAAATTATCCAAGCGTGGCCACATTTTGCCTTTGCGCGTGCAATGATTTCCAAAGCACACGTGTAAAACTTTGGGACCGCGCATGGGCTCTTGCTTGTGGACGCATTTCTTATGTCGGGCCAAATCATTGATGGTGCCGAAGCCCTCTCTGCGGGCACAGTTTGGTTCATCGCATTTGAACAATTTCTTATGCCTTGCTTCGTGTTTCCTGTGTAGAGTATAGATTAGTCTGAGGCATCCATTTCTTTGCGTGGTAATGGTGTGCGTACCTTTTATCAGACGGACATCTTCCACTCCATTTGCAATTAGGATGATCGCATTTGATGTATTCTATGGGGGACTGCACAGAGACTTCCCGGTTATCCTGATCTGGACTGGAGCACGCAGATTCAGGTCCTTGGGGCGATGCGAACTGCGGACTACATGCCGTATCCACCGCGGAGGACGAGGCTGTTGAGGTCGAGCGCGTCTCATATCCCGAGTCGGATGATCGTTGGCTGTTATTGTGTAAGCTAGCCCTTTCAGACGGCGCGCTCTGTTGATGCAAATAGGTTGGACGCAGGTCGGTGGACACCGGTGGCAGATTTAATAGTGGTTGGGGGTTTGTCACCAGCAACGGGTTCCAAGCGTCCCAGTGTCGTCGCGGGCCGGGATGCTGCGAAAAATCAGGAGTCGCGATACTGGGCGAAGATAGTAGTTGAAGATGCGATGGTAAACTCTGAGGAAGAGACGTATGTGTGTGAGCGATGATGGCGGGATCTGAACCAAGATGCAGGCCGAGTAAGGCTGTCGGGTCGCCTAGAGTGAAACCAACAGGATCATCGTGCGAAGAACTTGCTGGCATGATTCCCTGGAGATCATGACCAGAGGAGCCCCAAGAACGAGCTGATGTCTGTTGAGTCATGTTTAGCACGCTTACCGCAACTTTCGGGGGACGTGTTGGGGATATATTCCACATACATCCATAGTGAGAGATATACCGCTCGGGGTATCAAACACCGATTTGTATCAAAGACCGACAATAACAACACGATTATAAACAAGCCACCAGATACAAATGCCCGAGGGAATTCCAAAAAGCGTTGAATAAGGCAATGGACAGATAACAAAGTATGTGGATATATATAGCGCCGAAGACAAAGGACGGGGAAGAAGGGAAAATGACAGTCCCTCTGATCGACAGATTCTCGTCCTTTTTTGGGATGGTAAGGAAGGATCGCGATAACGTGTGGCTGACAATTTATCAATCAGAAGAGAGAAAATAAGGAGAGACGAGGAATGTGTCGTTGCACGTCAAGCAAAGGAATCTTAAATGCCAGAAGTTGCTGTCACTCTGATAGTAGTAGTGTAGATGTATGTCCGGATGTGTATGTATGTATGCTGATGCGTCAATCGACCTGAGACAGAAGGGAGGAAGCAGGCGTCGTCATTCCATCATAAACTATTAATGCACTCCCATATTTGCAACAAGTCAGGGTGAAAGGGAGGTCGGAATAATGATAAACGATAAGGGAGTTGTGTTATTGTGAGGTGGAAGGAGAAAAGAGGGAAAAAAGCAACGAGAAAGAGGAACGTAGGATCATCACGGGACCAGGAGCATAAGATGATGAATCAGGCTGATCCAATTATGCAATGCAGGCGCACCAGCACAGCCTTCTTTGTCAGGCCTCTAATAACTGCTCTTTTTGGTAAAGGGTATGTAGGACGACTATATAAAAAAAAAATTAAAATTACTCGCTGTTGCATACCAATCACCTGCCAATGAACTGTGCAGAAATTTCCAAAAGGGTATCATTATCATGTACATCAACAAAAAATAGTATCCAAAAAGAGTATGTATAGAATGGAAGTGCGGATGTTGTCCGTGCCCGTGCATATTCGTCATTCCCCAAATGATCCTGATTGCGAAATGCCGTTTCAACCAAACCCCCCCCTTTCCCCCCCTTTCGCCTTACATATACTGGTTCTGCATATGATGCGCCATCCCAGAGTCATATGACAAAGACGTGGCTGTCAGGTCCGGTTTGAAGTAGTCCTCCTCTGTTGTTGGGGACAGAAACATTGACCCCTGTGCGTCGTAACCCGTTTCCAATGCTCCAGGAGAGAGCACAACCGGACTAGGGCTATAGAAGCTGCTCATATCCGGATTGCTGTTGACATCATGGTTACTGGGCGTATGCGGCCGTGACATGGAATTGAATGGAGGTGGATATGAGACTGAGTTCTGATGAAGAGGAGAGTGATGCCCCGCCTCCGGATGTAGAAATTGCGGTGATGCCAACTCTTCGAACATATCCATGGACTCGGGCTCTGCGGATAGGAACCCATCCTGTGTCGTGGACACAGGCTCTGCGGAGAGGAACCCGTCTTGTGTCGTAGTCAATTGCGGGGGAGGATATGTCAAGTTGAAAGCTGCCGTCGAGTTATCTTGACCAAACGCCGCAGGTATATCTGACTTCTGTCTGGAGATTGCCGCAGGGCTGGAGTTGGTGTGCGTAGGCCCCACTTCTCGTTCCTGCACAAGTCCCAGGACCGGTAGAGCAATCTGCTCCATATGTTTAGCCAGATGAACCGTGAGCTTCTTCCAGCTGCTGCACACGTTTCCACAGAACCGACACGGCTCGTCACGTGGGTTCTTGGTCGTCTCGTGCCGGCAATCCTCCACCAATTCCCAGAGTCGTGCGATCTCCCGGTCGCGCTGGCTCTCCTCTCCCCTGTTCTTGCTGCTGCCCTTCTTCGCTTTCGGCTCAGGCATCTTGTGCTCGCGGACAAGATGCTGGACAAAGTTGTCCTTCCGGTAACATGTGTGGCTGCAGTCGGGCATCGTGCAGGTCCACCACTCCAGTTGCCGGTGTCGCTCACTCTCGTGTCGGACCCAGTCTGCTTTGCGCTTGAAGGATTTGGGCTCGCTGCAGCGCTGGAACGTGCAAGTAAACGGTTGCACATCTTCGTGAACGTGCTTGGACCAGTCTGACGGCTTTTGGAAACTCTTCACCTTGAAGCAGAAAGGGCACTCGAATTCGGCAGGGAGGCGCTGCACCGGTGGCAGGGGAACACCAGGAGGAAATTGAGCCGCAGTAACAGCACCTTCACCCAGGTCCTGCGGATCTTCATCAGTGGCATCGGGGCCAGGGATCTGAAATTGTGTTTGTGCATTCGCATCTTGGGCGCTGCTCGTCCGAGGGGGCAGGATTCTCGCCTCACCACCTTGTCCAAAACAGTGTTTCCCAGCCCCACACGAGTGAGAAGCGACAGCACGAGAATGACTGGCTTTCTGGTCGACGAGCTTCTTGTACCGGCGAACCTGTTCGTTCGCCAGGCGGTCAACCAGTGAGGACGCCAGCCGAGGGTTCAACTGGGTGATCTGCGTTTTAAACCCATCATGTGTCGGAACGGGGAGGTGCGATTGAACTGGGAACTCCATCACCATTCCCTCTTCCTCCTCATCCTCATCATCTTCTCTACTGGCATTGTTCCCGTTTAGTCCCTGGTCGATCGACTGCTGCGGCCTCTCTGGGAAGAATTCAGGGCTGGGAACCGGGGAGGGAGCACCAAAGCTAACCATCAAATCTGGCGGCGGTGGCGGGACTTCACTCTTGCTTCTTCCACGGGACCAGCCAGCAGGAGGACCGGGCGAAAGTTTGTTCCCACCACCAATTGCCGCCATCGAACCGGCAATCGCAGCCATCGCGCCACCAGTGCTTATGCTGGTTGACCTGGGGGAGCGCCCAATACTAAGCTTCCGGCGGTTTGACGACACGCTGGTTTTCCTTTGCACACCAGCTTGACTCTGGATACCGTTACTGTCCGAAGCCGGCGTGTCGAGGACGCGTTCCATCGACCGCTGCCGTTTCAGCGGGGAAGTGGCCCTGGGAAGAAGGCTTAGAAGACTGCTTCGTCGCTCTTTGCCTCTGTCCTGTTCGCCAATTGCCAACTTTCCCATGGAATCACCGCCAACGATGCTGCTGACTTCAGCTTCGTTGACGTGTCGAGTGCCGTGTCGAGTGCCCCAAGTGGCCATCCGCGAGGCCGTGTCCATTTCTCTAGCCTTCTGCTGGAACTCCAGCATGGCGGCAGTCGAGTTATTGGCCTGGAGGTCATCCTGCCACTGGCGAGCGCGAATGAACTGGCTAGGCAGGGGATCCTCATACTCCAAACTGGGCTCGTTGACGGAAATATCGTGGTCCATTTCATCCTCCGTCGTCAGCAGAATACTGGCAACGGGCGATCCTGACCTGCTTGCTGTGTCGGGTTCACTGGATCCTACGTCGCTCTTTTCCTGAATAAGAACGCCTGGACCGGGGATCGCGAGGCTATTGTACTGAGACCTGTAGTTGAGATAGTCCTGTTGCAGGGACGCGTCTCCCGTGCTCTTTGCACGACGACGGTGCGCCGGCCGGGCGGGCCGGCCTCGAACGCTAAGAAAGTTATCGTCTCCCACCTCACTTGTGGCTGCACTGACGGTAGCTGTCCAGCTATGGATGTCGGCGGTCTTTTCGAATAGATCGCGATGGGCTTCCATATCGTTGGGGCTGGGTACCCAAATATCTTCTCTCAGAGTTGGGTCCACACCGCCAAGCCCCGTGGTCGTGTCCCGGATCCACGAACCATCAGATGCACGGGAAATGGATGAGCAATCGTCGTCCATGTCTTGATCATCATCCATGCCGCCCGGGGAGAGATAGGCGGATGACGGACGTCGACTGTAGATGGCGGCACTGGGCAGATCGCCCCGGGACGTATCTTCCACCATCACAATGGGACTTGGGGCTCTAGCAGATTCCGGATCCGCATGAACACTCAGATTGTCGTTGAGTGGAGTCGTAATCAGCGATGGTAGCAGTGTGCCGTTCTTCTGGGAGCCCTCAGGCGACAGGAGCGCATCATTGCCAGAAGGGAAATATGAATGATTGCCCAAGTCCGAGGTTGGACTCGTGTGATCGGTTAAAACCGGGCTGAGAAGCTGGGCAGACGCCATCATCGGCTGGGGAGAAGATAAATCCATGGAGCCCAAACCATGCTGTTGTGTCTCAAGCGATGTAGACGGGGTTTGTTGCCAATCATTTGTGAAATCCGTAGGATTTAGATTCAGGTTCAGGTTCAAGCCCGTCATTCCGTAATCCGCATTGGGGGAGGATAAGCTAGGATTGCTCAAGAGTTCCTCGCCCGGACTGAAAACGGAGGTACTGCTGTTGTCTGGATGGAACGAGTCCTCGTCGAAACATGATGTATCGATGCTGGGCGCAGGAATGCCATTCGTATGGAAGTTTGAGGAGGGAATCGGAGACGAAGCTGCAGGAGTATCGTCAGGCACTGGAGTCAAGCGGATGGCCGACGACCGGAAAGCAGCTTCATCTGGGTCGAGAGGGGCGGAGAGGTAAGGATCTGAGTAGCTGGGATCTTTGAGGCTGGTTTCGATGGAATGATGATTTGGCGACAGTTGAGGCGACATGGTGATGTTTTGTTCCTCAAAGAAGGATTGTCTCTTTTGTCCTTGGCAGATTGAAAGATCGGAAGATCGAAGATAATAGAGGAAAGATAATGCACTTGTTTAAGAATCCATTGACGAGATGATTATAGTATAAGAAAGCATGCGTAAGAAGGCAAACGTAGCGAGCGAAGTAGAGTAATCCAGAATACCAAGAGATCGCTTATTCTCCGAAGTACTCGATGGTAAGACGGAGTGAGATGGCTTGCAGATAGGATGGTTGGTAATAGAACGGCGGGCGATGTGGGAGTACAGTACTGTACCCAACCTGAACGCAGAGCCGCAACCAAGAAAAAAAGAAAGGCGTTTTTACTGAAGAATGCGACGGAGAAGACGGGGGGGATCCGGGTCCCTTTTTGTATCTGGCAGTCCGACGGAGGATAGACGGACAAGCGATCAAACCAAATGGGGCCGGGGAGCAAGACGCGAGCACCCGAGGAAATTAGTTCAGGGACTAAACGGGTAGTGATAAGGACGATGAGGGGAGAATAAAGAGTTGACAGAGAAATATATTCCGTATGAAAAAGTAGAATGTCGAGGGGCAGTGATGGTGGAATGTTATATGCTGAGCCACGGACAAATGATGTCGAGCTGAAGAGAGAGAGAGAGAGAGAGAGAGAAGACTGCTGCTGCCCTGGGCTTTGTACTCGGGAAGCGCTCCATGACAGACAGACAGACAGACGACGGCGGCTCAGCGAACAAACAAAAAGAGCCTCATTCCGACGACGGACAGACCACCAACAGACACAAGTGGAGAAGGGGAGCGAGAAGCGAGTCGGGCACCGGCCTAGGGAGGATTGATATGGAATGGATCATCGACTGGCGCAGTCCACGAAAGGAATTAATTTGATGGTGGAAATAAGTGCCCTGTGCTCCTCATCACAGTTAGCGTGCTTCATGATTGGAGCAGGACGTGCGTGACGGATGTGAAGTGCTATATAAAGCAGGTGATCTTGCAGGGAGCCGAGTCGGGAGACCTTGAAGGATTGCATTATTCAGGGGAGACTGTAATGTTAGTTGCAGAGTGTGCTGAAGAGATTAGGATGAAGATGAAGAGGAATTGCCGTGTGTGATCATTGGTTCCCGTCCCGGCCTAGTCTGTCCTGCAAAACCCCGGAGTAGCTCTTGTGTCGTTGTAAGTAGCAGTGCGTACTCCGTAGTAGTAGTATGTACTCCGTACTACGTACTCCCCCCTGCTCTGGCATGCGATTTGCAAACCATTCTCTCGTAGGAGTCCATTTCCGCTCTCGTAACTTCGTATAATACGCGGAAAACTCCGTATGATCAACAAACCATCACCAGAATTGGAAATCGATATGATACCGGATGGGGAATGCATCTTCCGAGAATGATTACAGGACGACAGATCTCCATTTTACTCTTGACTTTCTGAAATTTTTTTTGTTCACAAAAATTTCCCGCTGGCGAATGCTGTTGGTTTTGACAAATAGTTACATTGTGACCCCACTGTCCCTCGATCTCTGGTTTTTTTTTTTTTTTTCACCCACCAATCACCACACGTGATTCTGGTTCTGCCGCTGATGGATCAACACTCAGCCCTGTGTGAGGCAGTGTCAGAACCAGATCAAGCATGAGCACAGGGCACTGAGAGTAAGCACAGGGCACCCTAGAGTCAAAATAAAACCGTTTCATCGAGCAAAGCCACAGTTGCAACGGGTTTTCATGACTCTGAGTGGTTTATGTCGGTCCATCTCGGTGGCCGTGTCACTCAGGAACCAGGTACCGCATCTGCTCAGCCATGTTTCATCCACACCGATTAGGAAAGGTCATAACATACTATGCGATATGCCATCATAGCTACCATCACAGCCTCAGGATCACAACCAGTTTCATTAACAATATTATAGAGTACAGTGGCAAATTAGCAATTAATCAAACAGCGACGCTACACCGACTTCCTCTTCCTTGCCAACAGTTCCTGCCGTCGCGCCGTGATGACAGGAGAATCCGAATATAGCACATTCCCAGGAGAGTATGTGCATGGCGATTCCGTCTCTTCATCCCCCACAAGATCCTCATGCGCCACCTCGCGCGCGATCTGCGGAAACATCCGGAGCAGCACATATCCACTACCACCCCCCTTCTTATCCGTTCCGTATTCCTCCCAGTCCTGGTTCGAAGCTCCCTCCGCGTCTGGCGCAGGTAGATTAGCCACGATGAGCCCCCGCTCAATCCGCGCGTGTCGCCAAGTCTCTGCAGCTAACTTGACGATCTTCCGCACGCCCATCACCAGTGGATCGAGCTGTGTCGGGTCGGCAAAATGTTTGATATGGTCGACGATATCGTCGACTATAACGGAGGCTGTCATATTGATGGAGTGTTTTGCGTCTGGAGCTGTGTAGGCCGCTTTAAGCGTCTGTTGGCGCCAGAATGCTTCGCGACGAACGGACTTGCGGCGGATATCCATTGACAACATCTGGAAAAAGATGTCTGCGTTGTCGTAGCGGCGGCCCAGAGTGAAGAGGAAGGGTTGGAAGATGCGGTAGTTGAGTGTCTTGGAGATCACATGTTGGATGTAGGCGGATCGTAGTTCGCGCGATGCTGGCATGTTATCCAAGAACGATGGTAGCTCTGACGGGACCTTGGCCAGGACGCTCTTGGGAGGGTCAATTGGGAGGTATGCAAAGTGCTCCTTGGATAGTGCGACGATTGAGCGGCGTAGTTCATCGAAGCTTTCCAGACTAAAATCGTTTTATCAGACCAAGTACGTTGAAGGAAACATGAAAGAAACTTCTATTTGACATTGGACATCTCATCATCTCATCGTAACAAACTCTATATGAAGACAGAATAGAGAAGAATAAAAGTTTTTACAACAGAAGAGAACATCGAAAAGAACCCCGAAAAGACAAAAAAAAAAAAAAAAGAAAGAAAGAAAGAAATATCCTATGTACGGAGTACCAGGTCACTTACAAAAATTCATCACCCTTCGAACTCTTCAAATCAGTCGCCTCTCCAAGGCTGCTCAGGGTCTTCGTCAAGCGGTCATGGTCTTTACCCAGATTCTCCATGGTCGCCCGCATCCCATCCATGGCATGTTGCAGCTGAGTCTCCTTGAGACTGCAGTCTCCCTCCAGTTTCTGCTTTCCCTGCTCCATGATGGCCAATGCCTCGTCCTTCTGCGAGAGCTGAGTCTCAAGGTCGGTACGCTGCTCTTCCCATTGCCGCTCTTTGTCGCTAAATGCGGCATTAATGGTTTCGATTTCATTTATGTAAATCTCGCGGGTCTCTTCGAATTCCTTGTGCCTGGCGTCTAGATCGTCTTTCGTATTCGACAATTCGGTTTGAGTCGACTCGAGGTCCGCAGTCTTCGCATCAGAGTCCGCCTGGAGAGCATCATGGGCCTCTTGCATCTGCCGTTTTTGATCCTTGTACTCGTTCTTCATCGCTCGTTGTTGATCAATCAACTTCGTCTCGATGGCCTTCATGGCTTCTCTATACGACGTCGCTTCTTCAGCCATAACCCCCTCAAAAGAATCTGTCAGCTCCCGTTCCTGTGTCGCGAGAGCTTCCTCGTGTTCTTGCTTGAGACCCTCTGTTGCCCTTTCGTGGGCATCTTGCTCCCCTGTCAAATCATTACTCAGCTTTGCGACATCACATTCGAGCTCAGCTTTGTGTTGCGAGAGCTCTTCGTTCGATTTCTGCGACTCAGCAAAAGCCTCTTGCAGGTCCTTGTGCTTCTCGTCAAGATCGCCTAATTCCAATCGAACTTCGTTGACAGCATGCTTCAGCTTGCTGATTTCTTCCGCGTTGTCATTTGCGGCCTTTCGCATTTGGTTTTGTAGCGCCTCGATATAAAAGTCTTTTCGCATTGTCGACTGTTCGTATTGAGTCTGCATTTGCTTGATTTCTGACTCGCGCGCCACGAGTTTGTTCTGCGTGGTCTTGTATCCATGAAGCAGGCGGCTTAGGTCCGGAATGGCGTCGTTGAGTCTCTGGAGAAGGAAGATATTCTCGCCATCAACGTCGGGCTGCGGCATAGGTCCTTTAACGTCGTTGAATTTACCGTCAACTCCATTTCCGTTCATCATAGAGAGATCACGGAGGTTTTGAAAAGCCGGCATAAAATTTGACTCAGAAAAACTACTATACCGACGATCGTGAGCGGGCTGCTGCTGCTGTTGCGGGTACATCGAAGGATGGCCCTGGTAGGCGTTTTGCGTGTATGGAGGCAAATAGCCACTAGCACTAAGATCCGGCGACTGGAAGGCTCCCCCGTATCCCGGAAAGGCTCCGGGAAGCATAGACTGGTTCGGATGTCCCATTTGCGAGTGCGAGTGCGCATGTGAATGCATTGTTTGGTGCGGGGACATCATGGGAGAGTAATAAGGACGTGCAAGAGGGCTGTGGACCTTGGGCATGGGTGAATGGGTCCTATACATGGGATATGTTGGTTTCTGCACGGGAGATGCAAGTTTCTGCATAGGCGAAAGCGATCCCGATGATGCGTAATTGGACACAGATCCACTGTTTCTGTGCCCGGATGATGTCGCTTGTTGCGCATGCGAGTGTGGGGAAGAAGTGGCCCGTTGAGAAGGAATACTGCCTTGTGACGAAGGTGATGGAGGCAGGACAGGCTTCAGAGGAGACACAGGCACAGGTTGCCGAATGGATGCGGAGATTCCTTCCTGTTCAATTGAAGTTGCAGCTGTAGGCGAGGCAGCTCGTGGGATAGACGACGCGGCCTGTGACACGGACGAAGACGATGCAGTGCTGGGAGCGAAATCGGGGTTAGAGAATGCAGGTTGCTGTACAGGCGAGCGCTGCGTCGTGAATTGATTGGTCTGGGCCACGCCGTTTTCAGACGGCTCTGCAGGCTGTTCAATTTCTGTGGACTCCCCTGGCTCTGCAGGTTCTGTGGCCTCGTTGGCCTCTGCAGGCTGTAGCTGTTGCTCAGGTCCTATGTCATTATATGGCTGAATTGACGATTCCGCGGGAATAGGCTCGACAGAATCAATAGGAGCAGGCGGCTCTGTAGGTCTTTCCGATTCAATGGATTTCGCGGATACAGGCTCGACCGGCGTAACGGTATCTGTATGAGCCGTATCCTCCGTAGATTCGACAAATTCTGCAGTTTCCGGATTCTTGTCCTCGGTTGCGTCGTCGATGGTCTTATTGGAAATGGAATCATCGGGTACGTCGGTAGGTGCATCGTCGGTGGCGTCGTTGACTGTATTGTCCTGCAAGTCGAGGATGCTGTCGGGTGTTTTCTCCAGTGCACCGTTTTGTGTCTCGTTTGTTGTTTGATTGGCTGTGTCGTTGGTGTGGTCATTATCGATGTTCACCTCATCACCTTGAGCATCAGAGGCATCAGGTACCGATGTCTCTGATGTCTCTAGATTTGAGTGTTGTGGTGGATCGGAAGGTCCCTGAGCATCATCCGATGCAAGCTGCTCCGCAGCAGGCTGTGGTTGTTCCAGCACAGCTTCAGGTTCTGGAACTGGCTCTGCAGCCGCCTGTGGTTCCTCTGGGTGCGCTAGTTCCTGTTTCGATCGTTGTTCTGGTTGTTGTTCAGGAGTATCGGCCTGTGTCCGATTTTCAGACACCTCTTCGACCATTTCCACCTATGTTTTGACTCTTTCCTCTCTTCGAAAATACGGTGCACGTTTAAATGGTATAGAGAGACGTGTTTCCAGTAGAATAAAACTGAAGTCGACAAAAGGGAGCGAAATTATCAGCTAAGAATTCATTGGATGGCGTTGATTCAATGGCCGTACATTTGCAAGCGCATGCGGCGGCTTCCAAGATATACTCTGATTAAACAAGGATACAGAAGGGTCCGATGCCTGATGAGGTCAAATTACTCAAATATCATGCAGCAGGAGGGAGTGTATTCCAAGTAATGAATACTTCTAGACGTGGCGTTCTGCAAGTCGGGACGAATAGATAGAATACACGAAAGACAGTCCTGTCGGTTGTCAATGCTTTTTCAAGCACCAGGGGAACTCCGGACTGATATTGATTCGTGGTGTTTGAAATGATGTAAGGAAACCCAAGGAGTGAGGTCCAAAGGGAGCCCAAAAACGCAAAAGAATGCCAACTAATAAACCTATATTGATTAAGACCCGAGCAAAAGAGGCCAAAAAGGGAAAACAAGAGCTCGCATCGCGACTAAATGGTGGGACAAAATACACCGCATCCAGACCCAGCGAGACAGACTGCGGACCGAGCCATAGTCGTCACTGTCCACTGTTGATAACACTTGAGAACAGTCCAACCGGACAAGGAGCGCAAGAAAAAGAAAGCATAGCTAATGCGGGAGCAATCAGAATCATCATCGGCGTAACATCAGGGACCGTGCCCCGTGAGAACATTGGGCATCAATTGAGAGCGGACTCAAACTCCCAGAGTTTTCTGTTTTCTGTATGCACGTATCATGGAGCCAGACGAGGTGGAGACGGCCTAGCAGCTGCGATGACATGTCCGCTTAACAACCATACGTTCCAACGCTTAGGGAGAAGTCGGAAGTGGAGAGGAAAACCTGCGGCGTGAGGCAAGCTCCGATTATGTTCCCTGTTCGAGCGACGGCAATGGTGCCCCGCGGATTGGATAATGTAGTAGACCAAATCGTTAGTTCCATGCACCATGAGCATCCCGACCTCCGTCCATTTCCAGAATCCGCATTGGCGTATAGATCGCAGTGCACAGTTGAGGTTGAAGTCCTCACGCCCTAGTCCCGATATGGAAGGCGTCACGTGATATCCGACCGCCCGCCGCATTTCGACCTCATCTCCGGATTGCGAAAACGAAGGGCGTCATTACCAGGACCTGTTGTTGTCGCTCGGCATTGCTGCCAATTGTCTTTCTCTCCGCTCCTTCTCCGTCCTACCTACACATCATGTTCTTCGCCAGGCGATCGGTGGCCTCGGTGCGGCCTTTGCTGCGGAACCAGCAGCCGCGACGATTCGCTTCTCACGCTGCTCACGCCGAGCCAGTGAACGAGGGCGTCGGTGTACGTATTCTCCGTGGATATTGTTTTATCCTCTCTTTTGGGCTTTACGGCATTTGCCCCTCTGGTTTCAATTGAAAATCCAATGCGTTGTGTTCCGTTGTATATGGGGTAGTAATATCTCGTACGTGATTTGACGAAGCTAATGGTCGATCGGAAACCATACAGCGCAGTTTCTACGTCGCCGTCGGTTCCTTCGCCTCCAGCTACGTCCTCTACCGTATCCACAAGTCGACACAGGATGCCGGCGAGCAATCGTGGATCTCCAACCTGATCCAAAAATGGACCCCCGATGAGAAGATCTTCGAGGAGAGAAATGCTATCCACACTGTGGCCATGGAGAAGGCTGCGTACGACCGTCACTTGTTCCAGAGTCAGAATCCCGCGCAAGCTTATGACTTGAAGCAGCCCGAGTACGTTTACCCTGGTTGTGGTGTTGCCGGCTTGATATATTGGTGACTAACGGTGTTGCTTTTTAGGGTGAGCTTCAACTCCGGTGCCCCGTGGAACGTCTCTGCCGGTTCGCAGGCCAACCTGAGCGCCGTTGTCGCACACTACGACCGCCAGAACCAGAAGGTTGAGGAGTCTCGTGTTGCACGGATGAAGGACGGCAAGGTTGTGTCTCTATATGATTAAACAAAATCAATACATACGGTCTTTGTTTCAATTTGTTCGGATGATTCCAATATGCAGGAGAGTGGAGATGGGTTGTACATATACTGGGCTAGCAAATCTTTATCGGGTTCCTTTGTTCGATTGTGGATTTATGCCGTTTTATATGCAAGGATGAAGGGCCAAAAGGGATTCGCTATTGGCGAGTAGAAGCGAGACGAAACGGACACTAAACATACCCTGTCTATGTCTTTATACCCCCAGCCTTTGTAACCTCAAGCACTACCCTGCCCACGCCTTCCGACTTGACATCCACCAATTCCTTCACATCCATTTCATCTCCGCTAGTATTCCTCAGAACCGCAAGGAACTCATCCACCCCACCCCCAACTCCGAAATAAACCTTCTTAGCCGCAATGAGAGCCTTGCTCTTACTCTCAGACGTTCCAGACCTCCGTAACAGTGCGAGCAAGGTCTCAGTGAACGCACCCAGCGACAATGGCGAGTAAATCGTCTCACTAGCAAGGACCAGTGTCCTATAGTTCACACTAGGTGAATGAGAGAAAGCCAAGTCAACAAAAGCAGGCGACCAAGCACCGGAGATGAAGTCGATGGTGATTCCGCGTTTAGCCAAGTCCTGTTGGAATTCTTCCATTAGTTCCGGAGTGACATCCAACTCCTCTTCTTCTTCCTCTTCCTCTTCCTCTTCCTCTTCTTGTTCTTGCTCTTGCTCTTGCTGTTCTGATGATAGGGCGTCTGCCGGCGCTGACTGCTTCTCACGGTGCTGGCTCCAAGTAAGGAGAAGATTGGGTAGTGTGACCAGACGGAGGACAACAGCGTTATAATCCGCAAATGTGAAGTGAGTCCTTCGCTGTTGTGTCGACTCCTCTGGCTGGGAGAGAAGCTGCGCAAACAGCGCCAGACATGGTACTGCCGTTCCGGCACCGAGCTATTCATGTCAGTGACTTAGAACCCCAAACAGCCCCAGATATGAAACAAGAAGCACCAACCTCGATAACATGACAATCGCCATCGACATCACCAACAGCATAGTCACCCACGACCCGCTTTGCCAAATCCATCGAACACTCCCATGTCTTGAAACCTCCTTCATAGAAGTTCGGCTTAAGATCACCATGCTCAAGCCCGGAGATCAGCTCCTCATTATCCTGTTCGCTGTCTTCTGCCATGAGCTGGGTACGGATGTCAAAGACTTCACGACGGGCAATGGTCAAATCATTTTGCTCATTGTCAGCTTTGGCTACACCGAGCTGAAGCTTGTTGTATGATATTTGAGATGGGAGAGTTGGGATCTATGATCATTGTTAGAAGACTGTATTCATTCAAAGATTGGAAAATCAAACTCACCCATTCTCCCATTTCATGTCTCTTCGCCTCTACTGGCGTGGGAAGGTCATTCTCAGCCGGTGCAGAAATCGAATGCCCTTGGACAGGCTGCTCAATCTCCGAGTCATCGATATCGATATCGTCGCCAGAGAACCCGAAGCTGAATGCCATTTTTGTAGACTGTGCTACTTGATGCTCTATAACGAATCCCGCGGGTATAAATTTATCTTCGGCGGGGCAATATCAGAAATCTCCTCTGCCCACGAGTTGTTATCGTAGCTAATGTGGCTTTCGTTTCAATTGATGCAACCACGAGGAATTGATATTCCAACAAATTGGGCCAATCAAATTTGACAATAGGATTCTGTTTTGTGCTCGATCTCTCTTCCCTCAAAAAAATTTGCTGTGCATTATGTGGATTACTAAGCACAATTCCTGCATAACTGCATAAAATATAAAATCCAAAAAAGATTAAAAGATATTACGATGATGCTCTATTGAATATGGACGTGATGCATTATGGCGTGCCCTTTCTCTAACAAGTTGATGCGAGTTTGCTCTCTTTCTTCAAGTCTATAAATCTGATATCGTATGCTTCATCCAGAGAGAATCTTTCCTCCGGGTTTAATCTATGAGCCGGTAGCGACAGCCTTCTCAACAGCCTGAAGCACATCAGCCCGGAGATCTTCGACATCCTCAATACCGGAACTTATACGGATGAGATCGTCATAAACACCGGCGGCCTCGCGCTCTTCCTTGGGGATACCAGCATGTGTCATACTCGCAGGAACTTCGCAAAGACTCTCCACACCTCCAAGACTCTCAGCCAAGGTATAGACCCTGGTGAACTGGCAGAATCGATGGGCGGCCTCTTTACCACCCTTGACGCGGAAGCTCAGCATACCACCACCCATGCCGTTGCGGTGTTGCTTAATAGCGACTGCGCGCTGGGGGTGGGATTCTAGCCCGGGGTAGTTGACGGATATGACGTGAGGTGAGGATTCGAGGGCTTTGGCGACGGCTGTTGCGTTTGTCGTGGCCTCGCGGGCGCGCAAGTGAAGGGTCTTCAAGCCGCGGTGAGCGAGCCAGCAGTCAAAGGGAGAGGGGACGGCCCCGATAGCGTTCTGGAGGAATGTAAGACGTTCTTTAAGTTCCTCGGAATTGAAGGCTGCGACACCCATCAATACATCCTAGTATAAATCAGCAAAGATTCCTTGCACAAACGATGCGGGTAAAGCATACAGAATGGCCGTTGATATACTTCGTGACGGAGTGAACCACAATATCAGCGCCGTGATCCAACGGGTTCTGCACATAAGGACTCATAAATGTGTTGTCCACGACCACTCTGATTCCACGTGCATGGGCGACCTCTGCAATTTTCTCAATGTCAACCAAACCCAACGTCGGATTCGATGGAGTCTCGATCCAGATCAACTTGGTATCATTAGGTCGGATCAACTTCTCCACCTCCAGCTCGATGCTATGACTGAAAGTGACATCCACACCATGAGCTGAGGCGACCTTGGTGAAGTATCTATGCGTGCCTCCGTAGACATCAGAGACAGAAATGACGTGCGATCCTGCTGCCAACGACTGGAGAACCGTAGCGGTAGTAGCAGAACCAGAGGCAAAAGCTAGCGCATATTTGCCGTGTTCGAGTGCTGCGACAGCCTCTTCGAAGTTATCTCTGATAATAATTGTAAGCGCACTGATCTTCACAGAATCAATCCCCTCATCTAGCTCACCTGTTAGGATTCGAGCTGCGAGTATATTCGTAACGGCCAACAGGGTTTGCAACGTCTGTTTGGGCAAAAGTGGTTGACAGAGAAATCTAAAACCCAGTCAGTCGCAAATATCAAAATATGCGATCAAGGGACAACTCACAGGAGCAATCACTGCGCCTGTTGTAGGATCGTGAGGAGATCCAGCGTGGACAGCCAAGGTCCCAAAACGGGCCTTATCTGATGCTGAGATATGGCCGTTGTCCTTGATGGCTGGTGAAGAGCGGGCAGTCATTTTGTTTTGAAGGCCTTGCGAAATGAGTAAATAGAAAAGAGAAATAAAAATGGTTCAGGGTTGGTGAGGAATATAAACAGCTGCAAACAGCTATGGTGTTGTTGATATGATATCACCCCGCTCAACGGTCTGACAGTCTTGGTAGTGCCAGTGCTCGAGAAGTAAGACAACGTGGAAGGAAGAGAAATAGAAAATGAATAGAACTTCTAATATATGTGAATATTTCTTTCAATTCCACTCACATAATTCCAGAAAACTATGAGCATACCGGTAATAACCGAGTCCCTTGCTTTACTCCGTACTCCGTATGCCGGACAAAGACACCGACTGCTACGGAGTGAAAATTTGCTACTATGTATAGAGATTGTCTATTGGGACATTTGGAGAACTAAGTGTTCATTAATGTCATCCTACTCGTTAATGCGATTTAAATATAAAGAAACGCCAACTACCACCAGGAAATCGGACCCAGACCAGCCATCTGCATCGAGCCCTGAAAACTGCATTTAGCATGGATATGCTACTAAAAAAAGATAAGGGAATCAGAATACTCACAATAATCGAAAACGGAGGCTTCCTCTCAGTTGCCGCAGCATCCCCGAGGTCTGGCGCATTGGGAATCTGGTCGTGCCATTCTTCCATTTCCACACGCAACCGGACAACTTCTCCTACATCGAAATAGAACGACGAACCGTCTTCACTGTCCCAGATCCAGACTTGATCTGCGTAGTCGCTATTGATGTGTCAGTTGTATTTTTGTAGGAGAATCAAGACAGGCGACTTACAATCTGGCGCCGTCTAACAAAAGGTCTGGGGGGACGAAGATGTCATTGAAAAATTCGACACCAACTGCAGTACGCCCATTAGTATCCAAGTCTCTAGATCCATTGACACAACGGGAACCTACTCTTGATCCCATGCTCTGTGGCACCGGAGATCTTTCCGAGTATGATCTCTCCCTTGAACGGCCGAAACACAATCAAACGAAACTTGACTGCCTATGGGTTAGACCTGGATATCCCTCGAACAGCGCGATGCATACCATTAACGTTGACCAGACCCGTCCCGTGACCAATAAGACCGTCCGAAGACTCTAATAAGTCGTAGAAGCCGATACACAGGCCAATTTTTTGAATCACCTTGGCACTTATTAGCCCAAACAGACTTGCGTGACACTAGGATCGTAGACGCACCTTGTTGGCATATTTCTCGTTGATATTGTCTTCAATAGCAACCGCACTATACTTGGAAAAGTCTTCTGGCGAGATCTGGATCAGATCCGAGATGGTAGTCTACAAGCGATTAGACTCTTTCCACACAAGACCAGAGAATGCATATGCAACTCACCAGGATGAACATGATGAACTATAGGGGTGCTATGACCAGCACCAAGGCGATGAAGATATCTTAGTTGATCTCACACGGCAGACACGATAGAACGAGGGTTGCATTTCATGTTCGGATTATCCACAAGAACAACAAAGTCAAATATTAGATATCCATGCTGTATCGCTTTTAAACAATGCAAGTATCTCAAATATCTCTTTCTCTTCAATTCTCGGCCAATCGCAGCCTGTAAATCCGTTCGATTTTTTGCCCGATCGAGTCAGCAAGTCACATGACCTTAACCGTTCTGCGCTCGGAACGGAACAACGCTCGCTGGCCGCAAAGAAGTTGAGATCGAATTTCAAGAAACCCGTCAGAATGGCTTGAAGGATGGCGTTCGTCCTGTCATTTTTGAAAGGACTATACAAATCAGCCCCATCATGAGCTCCCAGGGCTTTTCTTTTCCTCCCCCTCCTCCGCCTCCACCCCGGCAGCAGCAGCAGCCACCGCAGCAGCATAACCATGCGGCGCAGTACGGACAGAACTATCGTGGCCAACGGGGTGGGCGTGGTACTGGTGGGAATCCCAGAGGCCGTGGAAGAGGTCATGGGAATAGAGGAGGCAGAGGAGGTCACTATGCAGCACCTTCTCCAACGTACTCCGGGAACGCTGCTCCTCCATCTGTTGGATATGCACCGATGAACTACGCCGGTTTCCCGACTCAACCGCTGTCTACGACGCCCACACCAGCTATTGCGGCACCCCAATATGGCTCCAATTATCCTCCGACGTCGACCGCATTTACGTCCCCGCAGACCTTTTCCCAACCGACCGCCTCTCCATACCAACACCAAGCGACGAGCTACGATGCGTACAATCAAGCTATGGGGCAGATGGCACAGGCATATGCGGCAACGCCGTATCAGCATGCATCCCCGCCTATGCCTTGGGGTTATGGACAAACTGCGCCTACGGGGACATTCCCTGGAGCCCAGCAAGGAAATGCCTGGGGTCCGCCTCCGTTCAACAATAATGCTTACGGCAACAACATGTCCAACGGGGACAAACCAATGAAGCACCATAACAAGCGCGACCACTCTTTGGCATTTGGAAAACCACAGTCAACCGCACCTCGAGTTCCCGCACCGCCTCCCGTTCCGAGCTTTGGAAACCCTCTACCGTCTAAGCCACCGCCGCCTTCGGATGTTACACGGAAACCCAAGAAAAAGAGAAAGCACAATCAGCTTGGTCTGACCCCAAAGACGGAAGACCACGAATCTAGCGAGGAGGATGACGATGTAGACGAAGAGTCAAAGCTGGCATCTGGGGGCGGCGGAGCTATTAATGCAACGCTTCGTTTTACCTACAGAGGCCGCACCGCAACACTCAAGACGCCAGAGGATATCGCGGCTTGGATTGAAGAGCGGAAGAAGCGATTCCCAACCCAAGCCAGGGCCGAAGAAAGGAAGAAGGCAATGGAGGAGGCAAAGAAAGCCCGGGACGAAGCTATGAAACAGAAGAGAGAAGCACGACAACAAGAGATTAAGCGGCCGCAGAAAGACACCCGAGAGCGACAGCAGCAACGCACGTCAGGAGATCCAGTCGATGCAGTGGCCAAGGCAAAGGAGAAGGCTGATAAGCTACGTCGGAAACTCGAGCGGGAGCAGAAACGGGTTGTCAAAGCCGAAGCAGACGCAGAGCGGGCTCGACTCAAGGTGGAAGAACAGCGAAAGGAATCGACAGGTCTCAGCAAAGATGGAGATGTGTCTCAAGAAGCCCAACCGTCAGCCACCCCGGCGGGACATGTCTCGGGCGAACCAGGCAAACCAGTTGCTAAAATGGAAGCGGCCGAAACCAGCCCATCTTCTGATACGCCAGATGATAGCGATTGGACATCTTCAAGCGGATCTGACTCGCCGGACTCGGAAGAAAGCGATGATGAGGATGCTGATGGTGACGACTCGGCGCCGGAGGAAACGACTTCTCGTCGCGAAGGCCCGGAAAAAGTACCACCACCACCCCGTACGAATGTCAAGAAACGAGTATGCCGCCACTTTGCTCGTAACGGACGGTGTCTACGAGGGGACAGTTGTAACTTTTCGCATGAATTGCCGGAGCGGAAAGCCAAAACAAAGCCAGCAGCGCCGCAGCCAAAGGAGAAGGGCCGGAAAGGACTGTTGCATAAGGTAAGTGCTATTGACACCCTGCATCGTATCATAATACGAGACTTATGACTGATAAATTGGTCACAATTAGCTACTTGATCGTCAAGAAGAGGACGACAATCATCGGATCATGGAAGCGATCATGGCTCTAGGGGAGAACGGATTACTGGATGAACCGGCCGTTCCGAAGAATCATGGAGAACCTCCGGTTCCTGTCAACGGAAATGCCACAAATAATGTATCAGACAAAGATAACGCTGCTGCTGCAGCCGCCACTGCTGTCATTGAGCCCGACAGTCAAGCCCCAGAAAGCCAGGGAAAAATCATAGCCGGTCCATCGCCGACGGCCCACGGAGATGTCGCCTCCGCTGCGGCAACTTCGTGATTATTTTTGGCAATTGTACTTTAATCGCTAACTTACTTTGTACACTATTTAGATACCTTCTGTTTAGAAAAAAACCTTATTGATAGACCGAAAATTCTCCTCAGGCCGTTTCTTTGTCTGATTTCTTTGATTCTGCGTGTTACTGTAATTACCGTATCCCAGGCTTGGTCCGAGTCTCCAAGGAAATTAATTCATATGCTAAAAACCGCTAGTAACGCCGATACCGGGATCAGCCCCCTGACAGGCACATTGCCTTATGCGGGGTCCACATGGCTTAATCTTAACAGGACAAGGGTGGGGTGTCATCTTAGCTACTGAGCATTCTCATTGGTGCACCCGTTGAAGAAGCACTGAAAGGGTTCGTTTGTTTGGACCCACTATTCTTATCCGAGACTAGCTTTACTGGTATGGAATGGTATCGTCCAATCAATGGAGGTGCCCACGCCGTGTAGTTTCCCGAAATGAATATTACGACCGGCAGTGCGGACCTTCCAAATTATGTACAACGAGAAAATGCTCCTTTCTTTTTTATATAGCTCTCTTTCCCCGGCGGTCTTCCTCTTCTTCTCTTTCTGTTCTCTCCTCTCCATCATCCTTCTATACCGCATCCTCGTTGCTTGTATACTATCCTCGTATACTACTGCCTCTTATATATCATCCTCTCGATTACCGTTATTTCCTCTAGCAATATAGCTACTCTCGATCAATATGCGTTCCAACTTCTACTTGGCCATCAGCGCCCTTGCCACTCTTGCGGCTGCTGACAACCCGAACGCTTTCAACATTCCCAAGGGTGGTTACCACTTCGAGGTCGGTGAGCCCACTACTCTCAAGTGGAACCCTAGCACCGATGGCACGGTCTCGTTGAAGCTCCAGTCGGGTGAGGTGTCAACCCCGGAGTCCGGCAGCACCATTGCTTGTGAGTATCCCCCATCAATCTCTCTAAGAAGTTGGCAGTTGCTGACTGAATCTAGCGCACATCGACAACTCGGGAAGCTACACCTGGACTCCGTCCGATGACATTGAGAACTCGGGCTACACCATTGAGATCGTCGACGACTCTGACTCTGGTGAATCCAACTACCTGCCTAGCTTCAGCGTGTCTGGTGCTACCGCTTCCGCCTCTGCGAGCTCCTCCAGCAGCGCTTCTTCCACGGCCTCCAACGTCTCGACCTCGTCGGCAAGCTCTACCACTGCCTCCGCTTCGACCATGACCACCATGACCAACACCACTAGCTCGCCTTCGACTACTGCTTCCACCACCACCGGTGCCTCTTCCACCGCGTCGAACACCTCTTCTACCTCCGCTGAATCCTCTTCCAGCACCCCCTCTGCCTCGAGCTCCGCGTCTGCTTCCAGCTCCGGCTCTGCCAGCGCTGCCGCCGCTACGGCCTCTGACACCAGCGTCGGTATGATCAACCGGGTTTCTGGCGGTATGATGGCCATCGTCTTGGGTGCCATTGCGCTCATTTAAGCCACATGCTTGTTGGTATGTTTCGATGCCGTGTTGGGTATATAAAATGGGGGTTTTCCTTCTATGATTCTTTTCTTGGTACATAACTTTTTTTTTCTTTCTTGATGATCGTTCCATTCGTTCACTCGTTTATACTTCTTTTCTGGGATTGATCAATGTTTGCTTCTTTAGTCTTTATGGCTACTGAGAAAAAGCGATACCATTGCATTTTTGTTGATTCTGCTCTTTATTAATAATGTCTGGGATGGAACAGATTGCTTCAGTGATACCTTTTGTACGTTAGCTAGTTATGCGAATGAGGATTAATGGGATGCCAGTACTGGCATAGATTGCACGGATACAACATTTTCGGAGACCGTTCCCGTAGAAAACTTTTTTGCCCCTGATAACCAAAAAGCTCTGTCGAGTCTGATGATGATCGACAACAATAACCAAAGTGTAGCGGTGAGCCAATCAACATCGGCGACTCATTATCTGCAGATCGGGGTAAACATTATCAGAGATTATCAGCTTGATTAAACGTTATGACTTGGTTATGAGAATGTAAGAGATAAATGGATAGGGGATGAGGGATATTCAAGGCAGACTAGTTACAGAAAGAAATCATTCTCATCCGGCAATATCCTCGAGAATTCTGATATCAATCCGGCTTCATCAACCTAAAATATAGCGTGTGGGGAATGAGGCCACGGACCCTTGTTACTAATGAATACCCAGAAGTCCTACACTGGTACAAGATGATAGGGACCGGATGGAAAAGATGACCAAGAGAATTGCATTTGTTAAGGGCTGGGGCGTAGTCCATTCGAATAAGATGCCCATTTTGATGCTATATAGGATGAAGTGTCTACACATTGACGGTGGCGTGAAGTCCCCAGCAGTCAGGAAAAGACTGGATGAACATTTATTTAACACAGCTGTAACTCGTGTGTGAAGACAGTTGCGAGCTTTAGGATAAGCTCTCGTGTTTTGTATTTGTGCTGTGTATCTTGAGGGACCCGGCGAACCATATTGCCAGTGTCTTGATTGAACTGGCGATCAATCCAGAACACGCCTCCAGGGTAACAATCTGCGTGTTTTTGGATGTAATAGCTGCCTGGAAAGGTATGTCTTGTCTAATTCCAGCATACCGTGGATTATTATCCAGCACCTCACCACCTTAAGATCGTCCATAGTAAAGTAAGCAACAGCCTTTGTGCGCCGTTGCGACCAGAATGCGACCAGAATCGTGCCGGCGCCGTGCTCGCCTATTCGCTGGCTATTTTGCCTAGGCCCAGGCACAGGGGCCCTCCGTCGTCGGATCTTCAAGGGAGAGTACACCTGCTACAACAAGCCTTGCTTGACTCCATGACACTGTGACCAAAGACAGAAGGAAAGGAAGAAAAGACGAAAAAGCAAAGAGTTAGTGTAGTCTGGATGATCATGGATAATGAAGAAAAGAATCAGACGAGAGAGGAAGAGGAGGTTACCCAAAGGGGTGACATTCACATATGTTGAACCCCCAGATCTGCACTCATCATTCAGAACGCTCTATTCAGGGCCCCAATTAATTTTTACAGTGGACTGTGTAGATGAACTAGCATAGTATCATTGCGGAGGATTATCACTATGGCCCAAAAGGCTCTCTAAGGGTTTGTACTCATAGTAGTGTCCTTCAGAACTATGGCAATATCCATCCAGACCAAATTCATCCACAAAACTGACCCCCCCCCCCCCCAAAATATACGCCCGATTGACCTGATCAACGTACTCAGACAGGGCTACTCCGACATGAAGCGGGGACCTCATATAATCGCCCTGTTTTACAACTGCGCCCTCCCGGCCCAGGGTGCGAAAACAGCAACCACAAGCACTGGTACAATGCCCGTGAGTCCATTTTGCACGATTCGTGTTCCGGGCTTTCTCGCAGCACCCGCACTTTCACTCACAGCAGCCGCTACGTCCAGCACAGTCCTGGCGCAGCCATTCGCAAAGGTACCAGTTCGGGTTTTTCTTGGTTTCTCTGAAGGCCCTGCCGAACACTCCATTTGGCAAGTTAACTTCAAGTTTTGTATCCGTTTGGCAGCAATCCATGTAGTCAGCATCCAACAATTCAAGCTCCCTTTCGTAGCTCTGGAGCTGCGAGATAGTAGGCTGCCTTTCATTATCTGCAGAGAGTGCTAGATACTTCTGCAAAGCCTGTGCCCCCCCCCCTCGTTAAGATAGATCTCTCTCTGGACAACAATGAGAGAATTATCTGTTGGTATTATGTGCCTTTTCCTTCGGGTTGCTGCCTAGGTAGTGGGCTCACTCTGATAACATTCGAGGGTATACAGCATGCTGCCTGTATTATGATATTGAATAATGTCATCGGCTATACTTTTCAACGGTCTGTATATCACAATTTATTTCTAGGTAGGACCAGTATCTCACTGAAAAACCGTAACCGTATTTGATCACTCATTGGTACGACCACACTTTTGCGTGTAGCTCCCTCTGACGCTCGTCTTCAATAAATTCTTTTTTGAAGTGGCCGTTCACATTCCTGGCATGCTCGTAGTATTCCGGCCGTACCATACCCCCTAGCGGGATAAGTCCTTCATCCTGCAGCTGTTGCACAATCGACGAGACTCCTTCAATAAGTTCCATCTCAGTTCCGTGTTGTTGTAGTTCCTCCTGTGTAAAATCAATGGGACATGGACTCTTGCCATGTCTGATATCGTCCCATCGTGCGATGACGGCAATTAGAGAATGGCGAAGGGAAAAGAGACTCTCATGGCCCCAACAGCAGGGTACCAAGGAAATGGGACCGAATCTAACACGAAGATATGGGTCTTTGCCCACTCGAGCTCGTTTTGTCCAATGGCAATAGCGTAGCCGGTAAGGTTATTCCCTGAATTGGATTAGCGATTGAGTCCAAGGACACTGTATCATAATCATACAAGGCCCTCTATCCAATCCCATTGCTGACCTTTTTCCTTCCCAAAACTTGGGATTATTCAAAGGGCCTAATGCGAAACGATCCAACCGATTATTGTGAGCCGATCTCAACGTCGAAGCCGCGGTGATGATTGTCTCTTCCAGCGATGCATAGTTCTGCGCCTTTCGCTCGAGCGAAATATAGCATTATTCTTTATTCAATCTATTCTACTACAGTGACTGATAACTGATCTCCCTTCACAGTGGGTCACCGTGTACTTGGCCAAACTCAAACCCTTCCAACCTCAGGAGAAACGTTTTTTTCGCTGCCAATATTAATGGCAATGCCGGGATGACCACCTTCACTCTCAATGAGTGCCTCGAGATCAACGCTCACTATGTACTATGTGTCACTAATCAGAATGGGAAGGGGAAATGTGCCGACGTGAAGGTCACGGAGGTGAGCCCTACTCCAGCTGTGCATGATAGTCAACCCAAGGACACGGAAATGTCCTGGAAGAAAACAATTTCCAGCTTCGGCGGCACATGTCTGTTGATGATAACGTTCACCACGTGTTATTCAATGATACACTATGCCCATCACAAGTACGTATAAGGTTTCGGTTTTCTGTGCTCCTGAGCAAGTCCATGTTGTCGCTAACTACTCCTAGGTATCCGGTTATGGGGTGGAGGTCTCATCCCGAGAAATAGATCTTGCCCGGGGTAGGAATTTTGGACTAATCGGTACGTGTCGTGTTCCGGGCCTTGGGGAGTCCCGGGGAACCAGAATGATGCTGAAGCAGATTCTGACGATATTATAATCATCATCAGACCCAATCCATATACTATGAAAAAGTTCGATTACAATTGGGGAATGAGGTAGAAGAATTTAGTGGATGGTTGCTAAAGTACGGAATGGACAATATGATAGTGACAAGCACTCATTATTGCACTCCGTATCGCTCTTATTAGGGATTCAAATAGAATCCAATATAGCTTCTGCGCTCAAATACACCGTTTACTCTAAAGCATGTTTTTTGTCCCAACACGTGTGCACTAAGGGAATTAGTGCATTGTCATCCTAAACCATACACCTCAATAATAGTATTTGCAATTCGGCTCTACGCGCAGAAAGGCATTAATAATTCCGCCAACGAGTTATCAACTTGTCCAGAATATTGCTTTACAAACTCCATTGAGCCGTCCATTTGTCTAGATTGTACCTCCATTGACCACTACATTCTCAAAAATGCATCCACGCCTCTTGCTCCTGCTCTCCGCCACCGTATATGCAATACTTTTGACGACATGGCCGGCCGAATTAGTCCCTGGGCAGCCCGCTACCATCACATGGGCCGAAGCGTTGAATGAAGTACTCCTTGTCTTGTCGCAATGACGCCCAAACCCGTGCATTAACTCTCACGCCTGACCATTATACTTATCTCGCAGAATATCGCCATCTCGCTGCTCGACACTTCGCAACTGAATGACATGAAGGTTCTGGCTGCGGATATGGATCTCAAGTTCAACTCACTCTGCTTGGTCCCCGATTCCTCCCTCTCCACAACCGCCACATATATGAACCGTATCTCCCCAGAGCAATAGCGAAAGTTAATCAAATCTTGTGCCGGTCTCCGCTGCCCCTCCCGGCCCTCCCGGCCCTCCTCGCAACCCACAGCATGAGTTCTTCAGACAAGCAGGTCTCTTTATTTGACTGGTACGTGATATGTCCTAGCGCTGGATAGTATTGGGAAGCTAGGATGATATGCCATGTTTTGCAGGACCAGATGCTAACCGTATTAGTCTCTCGTCGGAAGCGACTCAGTCGGGGTGGAGCATGGTATTTCGTCGGTAAGGGCGCGGGGATTGGATCTGCTGTTCATTCGTTGGGATATGGCATTTTGTAGGGATGGAGGGTTGATCATCTGTTATGGCTGGCATGAAGACGCAAGTTGTCCATGTATTCCACTATTTCTGTCTGTCATTGGATTTGGGGATTTAAGACTCCCATATTTATGTGACTGCACTCTGCTATATAAGATAGCTCGAGCTACAATATACGAGCAGAATATGTTATGACACTCAGAGATATTCTCTTACTTTCTAAGCATGGTGCCGCCAAAGACATCAACATTGTCTGCAGCATACACCTCGCCATCTACAATTGAGCTGCGGATGATCGTGGATGCACCCAGAATTTAATAGATAGATTTAACACTGTTTAATGGGTATGAGGTCATTGTATGGAAAAGGAATGAAGCTTAAATATAAATATTTCATAATCTTGCATACTAGTGTCCAAGTTCGGGACGCTCATAGTATTCACTGTAGACTCTTTCTTCACTCTCTCAACAACATCCACATTGAGACCACCACAACCATCTTCACAACAACAACAACAACAACAACAACAACAACAACAACAACAACAACAATAACTCTATTTACACTACTCCTACTACTCCTCCTTCTATAACTACTACTTCAGCCACAGTGACTACCGTGACCATGTCAGAAGCAGACTTGGTGAAAATAATCGTGTCGATCTTCGGCGCGGCAATCCTCATCCTTATCACCTTCACGGTGTCCAAAATTGCGATTATTTGGGCCAGATACCGGTATGCACTTGAGTATAGCTCTTTGGTACCATGGATATATTGCTAATTTATGATTGAATGCAATAAATTCCCTCGCCTGGCTTGAGCCCGTTTGAATGCCTTCTATCCCCGATAATCTGAAACTTCCTGAGGAACATTAAGGAGCCCGAGTCCTTCATGGTATACAGGACTGGGTATTTGATGCTAATTATACCGTTGTGTAGTCGTTAGGATTTGTTTGAGGAGACCGGGGTCATCTGTGGAAGTATCGTACACTCGCGGGAGAGAGCCGATGGACTGGGATTGGGCGTGTCGGTTGCGCTGTGTTTGTTTATGGATAGATAGCAAATTAAAGGCTGCAATTGAGCTTTGCTATACCCTGGTTTGAACGTGTAGAGCAAGTGGGCAAAGAAGTGAAGCTGTGTAGAGTCCCGTACCACACCACTTACTGGACAGTCCTCTACAGTATGGTGCATGGCATGTTTACAATTGGTCGTTCCCAAGAACATAATATACACTACAAGAGGTATCATTTGGGGCTCTATAGATAGTTGACACTGCTTCATATAGAATCACCACATCGTGGTCGAAGGTGTCCCAAGCCGAATTAGGAAGGAACAGACCGCATACCTCTTTTCCTCTTCTTGACAACACTCTATCGAGGAACAACTTGAGTTTGCAACGAATGCGCAACCAGGACCACTAAAGCTGCTACTACTATCGTTAAAATGACTATACCACTTGCGAGCTTTGTTCAGTTCGCCTTCTCAGACGTCGGGGCCCTGTGCCTGCTAGCTGTCGTCTGTCTGCCCCGTCTGCCGCCCATGCCTCATATGCCTCCTCCACCTCCTGCTTGTCCAACTTGCTCTACTCGTCCACGGTAAGAAGCCCAGATGGCCCCTTACTCTGAAGAGTTATATACGATTGCTAACCATGTCGCTGTCTATCATCAGCCAGGCTTGAGGACTGAGTAGCCAGTCATATCCGTTTGGAGATTCATCTGGGGAGAGCGTATCCGGCGTCTGTTGTGACATCTGTTTAGTACATGGTTTACTACTGGCTATGTATGACAAGCATGCGAGATATCTATTCAAGGCCTCCATTTGATTTCTTGTAATGTATATTCATAGAGTGAATCCATGGTAGTTGCCTGTAGTCCACATGTAGTCTATGAGAAGCTAGCACTACTTCTTGAGTGTTCACCGACAATCAATTTAGTGCCTTCGTATTCGAAGAGACCATCCCAATGCAATCAAGGCCATAGACCACCTCTTCTTCCCTTCCCTTTTCTCTTCTTTCTCCTCCACTCATCCACTCATCTGTTACTATGATATATTGGCACAAGTATATAGTTCCTTAATTCATCTTGTCCAAGAGATCCCCCCACGATGTTTCTCGATTCTTCCCGAAAGTTCGATATACAGGAAATGGGACAAGATTGGACGAGAAATCCTAAGTCGGATCAATATCTTCACATGGTCACATCGAAATGCAGAGAATAAGCCTTACAAGTCACCTTGACAGCCAATGAACCTGTCGATTCGTTCGTCGGAAAAGCCTGGGGCATCCCAAAACTGCAGGATTCCTTGTAATCCTCACCAAAGTCATTGGCATGGAGAGTTAAAGAAACAAAGAGCAAGGCATATTTTATACCGTGTTGACAATTATGCACTAATTCCTTGGCTAAGTGCATAGGCACCCGTATCATTTACTCAGTCAAAAAACCAGTTAACGAACCCAGTGCTACTCATAACATGGCATTTTTCTTTTTTTTTGACTGGGTCACGCAAAGTGGTAAGAAGTCTCGAGGGGTTGACTCTGGGACACCAGTAATGTTTGTGATCTGAGTAGTGTAGGCTCTGATACTGACTGATATGACCTATCGGAAATACAAGATGAAGCGAGAATCCCAAATCGATGGTTGATGGATGTATTAGGGTCTGGCGCATAGCCCATAGGCACCATGTTCGTCTTCTCTGGTTGCCATATCCTGAACGTGCTAATAGAGGCTCAAGACAATGTATTCCATTAGCTTTATCTGAAATTGAGTTCCGCTATGTCTTGTATTGAGCAGGCATGATGTAGATGGCTTAGTGGATCATTACTCTATCCCGTACGGGTCTACGAATAGGGCTAGCATTCCAATAAAAGTGGATCTTCATAATGCCATTATAAGAATACGACTAATCAAACGTAACAGGTATATCTAGCGCAATAACCAAACAATAAATCAAGATGAAGCTACTACCCACTGGGGAGTAACCTTCTTCAAAAACCTCATAAACTTCCACAGCCCAACAGCATACTCGACATTACCATGCGGATCGACCACCCGTTCCGGGAATGCGATGCCAGCACCGAACAGTCCCCGCACAGCCCGTCCGCTCTCCGTCATAAACCCACCAGAATCGTGATCAAACTGTGGCTTGTCCAATGCATAACCGTCGATAGAGAGCTCCGGCAGCGGATCCCGGGTAAACCCAACCGCCTGGACGAGATGCGAACACAAAGGCAAATGTGCCGCCATCTGCTCCTTCTCCCGCTTCGGACCCCCACTACAGTCCACCTTGGAGATGAACCGGCCCGCCTCAGATTTGGCCAGGGCTGCATCCTCGAGCTGTTGTCGGGCGAAGTCAGCCGCCATACCCTTCAGGCCAGTGTTGTCGCGCAGGATCCATCCGTCCATGAACTCTGCATACCGCAGCGGATGACGTGTGAACCACTTGACGCGGAGGTGGGGGTGGGTAGTACGTGCGAGATCGAAGAGGTTGAAGAGAGCTAGAATAGCACTGTGCGAGGCGCCTACGATGGCAACGGTCTGGCTGTGGCTGCGGGGAATAATGGAGACAAGGTCGCTGGGTTTAAGGACAACATCAAGGTCCAGCCTCTGGAGGTTGTCGAGTCCAGCTACAGGAACGGGGACAGATGTCGGGTGTGATCCGGTGCAGAGGATTAAGCGGGGTGTAATGAGTTGGATTTCGTCGGGAGAACCTAGACGCTGGACATAAACAGTCCAGTTCGAAGTGTTTCTCGTCTGGTTCGCAGCCACGACTGACCCCCGATATGCGTAGACTTGGTCCATCTTGACGATACCCTCGGTGAGGGCGCGCATCATATCAGCGGCATGATGCAGATGACAGGTCTTATCTTGGTCGAGTTTGGCCAATGTAGCGAATGGATTCGGTGTGGGTGTTGTGCTGATAACGGAGCGGAATGGCTGGACGGCTGTCGAGTATGCTTGGAAGAGGGAGACTTTGGTGTTGCTGGGATTGTTAGTTGCATGCTCGAATTTCCAGTCCTGGCGATAGAGCTCACCTAGGAACTTCGCGGTATTGCCTGTTGACACGACCACCTTGGAACGAAGGATCAATCCAGGCGATTTTGCCAGCAAGTTGCCGTTCAAGTAGATTCCCGATAACAGCCAGACCAGCTGGACCGGCACCTACGACGACTGCAGCGCATTTCTGGGCGGTCATTCTGTAGGTAGAGTATCCGGTGTGTATAAATCGAGTAAAATAAAAATAGAGCCAGAAAAAAGACAGAAAACGAGTAGTGGTAATTCAGTAGAAATAGCGAAAGTCGTAAGTGTGACAACAGTGAAGTAAACGGCGGAATCGACCCGGCTTTATCTCAACGCAGCGACACCGTCAGGGATAAAGACGGAAACACAGATAGTCACAGAAAGAGCGACACGGCGTAATTCTCGGGGAAAAGGGACCAACGACGGCACAACAAGGGAGACGGTGTGCGCATTTCACTCGTCCAGGAAGGAATGCCTCATGCGGTGCGTAATCAGCTGACCGGCGACTTCCCCCCCATAGTCGCCTGAACGCCGTTTACTCGGTGTCCTCATTGATATCATTCTGGCACAAGTACGGCGAGTACCGCCTGGACTCTTCATTCTCCTGATACTTGAATCCCGGCATTGGATAAGAGAAACACGTCACGCCCCACAGGCCCTGGCTTTTCGCTTTCCGTCGGTAATAATTGAGGAGGATCGCAGTGTCGCGGGGGGTCTTCATCCGCCCGGCGATGATGGGAGTTGGGGAGTTGTCATGATGGCAGGTCCGCAAGAGAGTGTCGGAATGGACCTGACAGTCAGAATTCAAAGATATCTGGAGAAATTCAAGGACATGCGATGAGAGCGAAAAGCGTCTCTTATAGCCAAACCGATTTGTATAGCGGGTCAAGGGGCTTGGCGCAATTGCGTGATTGAGTCTGAGAATGAGGTTATTGGCTTGGGATGTTTCTCAGTCAAGGCTGGGAATAACTAACTAGTTAACTAGTTAACTATCCCCGGATTTACCCAATGCGGTATAGAGTACATATCTTATCTTATCATATCATATCATTAGGAAGCTATGTAGCGCTATTTTCATACTGCCCAGAAAACTCGCACGCTTAACCCTTGGACATGATTCGCCCATCCCCCAAACCTCGCTCGTCCCCAGACCGAAATCGAATCGCCCGGCCGCATTTCTCGCACCCGTCGTCCATCTAGAGTCGCCTGTCCACGGCCTTGAGCTTGTTCGATCTCTTCTGCCTCGGGAGTTCCGGGTTCGATGGCGTCCAAATGATGCCAGGTGGTAGTATAGTGCTTGGTTTCCACTGTGGCAGCCAAGTTGGACTGTAGTTTGTTCCCGTTGGCCATGAAATTCGGTTCGCCTGGTTTTGTCCCAGCCTTCCTAACCTCTTCGTGTTCGTTTTCCAATGGAACGACTTCGGCATTGAACCAGGTATGCGACCCCCGGTATGTACCTCTGCATCCTGGCTCTCCTCCCCAGCCTTGGTCGTGACAGTCCAGGTTAAAGACGATCTTTCGACAGGGGTGGGCAAGTCGATGCGGAAGGAGCTTGGATAACGATCCATCTGATGTCTACAGCACTTGTTAGCTTGGTACGCACCAAGACGAAAGGAAAAAGGACGCAACACATACTTTCTCATGACACAGCGGCACCGTCCTCAGCAGTTCCCGGTCCGCATCCTGTCTAACGACAATCTTATGGTCTATCTTCACTTCCGTCGACGCCCAGTACTCAGCCGCCTCGATAATCATATCCGCAATCTCAGGCGGAATCCCACCCGCCACAACCTTCCATTGCAGCAGATATCTAACGGTGAGAGCGTCCGAGATACTGGGATAAAACGTTGAATCACCAGTATCTTCTACCTCGCTTTCGGAACTTGTCTCAATATTGGGTGCAGGGAATTCCATGCCGTCCGAATCCAAAATCTCTTCCGATTCCAAAATCTCGTCTGAGTCCGAAGACTGTTCTGAAGTCTGGTCCGGCTGTGGACGTAGAGTCTCGCGCTGCATTGGAGACCGCATTTTGTATTCGTGTCTGACGTAGAATATGTCGTTAATAATCAATCGATGCAAGGAATGGGCAACCAATGTAGTATCGATGTGTATGATTGATTTGTTAAGTGATTGCTTGTATGCAAGTAAAGAGTGCTGTACAGATGCTATTTATTTTAGCTGAGCCAAGTCAGTAGCCCCACCTAAAGGCGGTGCGTAGATTTGTTGAACCATGAACAGCTGAACTGAGCCCAACGAAAAAGAAAAAGTAGGATAGTTGAGTATGCTCTGAAGGATGCTCTGAAGGACGTTATTATTAGAGAGATCTGTTTACTCTGGCATAGTCTCGACTTGGAGAGGATGTTTTTGTGAGGTACAATAGAGTGACGTCATGGATGTCTTATCGCTGTTATCAGGTTATCAGATGGAGATTAGAATAGGAACTTTTGCGATATATTTACTGCACTGATGCCAAACTCCGTTATAAACATACACCACTATTTCTTCTTCCCCCCTGCTGCCTTATATGCCGCCGCTCTCTGACTACTGCGATTGTTCTTCTTCGACTTCTGCCCCCGACTCTTCGTCTTCACCTTCATCCGCGCCCCCTCCGTAGCCCGGTGTCCCTCAAACACTAGCGAATTCTGCGCAATAGATCCCTTATCCTTTGCTCTAATATGCGCCTCACCAGCCTTGCCCAGCAACTTCCCTGCGCGACCATGCAGCGTCTTGCGCGACCCAGCCAGCTTCTCGTTGCTGGGAGGCTCACGCTTCTTCATGACCTTCTTGGCGCGTGACACACGGAGCTTGCGGGGTAAGAGAGGGGGGAATTTCTTGCCTTCGAGTAGGAGTGCTTCCTCCACGCAGTTTTCGTCGTAGAATTGCACGTAGGCGAAGCCCTTGCCTACTCGTGTGATTGAGTCACGGATGACTCGGACGGATTCGACGTTACCGCGGGTGTTCTTGTTGGCGCTAGATTTGCCAGTGTGTTGGTTGAAGGTGCGCCAGAGACCTTCTTCGACATCGGCTGGTGCTCTGTTTTTCTTTTTCTTGTTCTCCTCGTCTTCGGGAACGGTTTCTTTGTCGACGAAATCGAGGTTACCCACGAAAATACAGCGTTTGTGGTCGGTAGCTGCCGGGTGGGCGACGTTGTCCACACGTAGGTGTCGGTCAAGGACGACTGTTCCGTTCAGGGTTGTTGGAGCTTTGCGCGCAGCCTGGACTGTGCTGTAGACAACGTAGGCGTTGGTGCTTGGTGTCGTTTCATCCAGCAACTCGCGTCGGGCGAATGCGGCACGCTTAGGGACCTTGCCTCCGCTAGCAAAAGCTGTAGACCGGAAACGGATCGATTCCACCTTGTGAGGACCTGTAGACTCGGGAAGTTTAGATAGGAAGGACTCGAGGTGTTTGGTAAGAGTCTTTTTGTCAGAATGCGATTTGATAGCCTTGGATGACACATTGCCCAGGAAAACGGTGCGGTTGGACTTTTCGATTTCTTGAGATTCTGCATCGCCGCCGGTCTGGCTCTCATGACGGACGACAGAGGGATTTTCCTTTTCGTCTGATGCGGACTCATCCTCGTCTTTCTCTCCCTCGGATTCACCCTCAGATTCCTCCTTATCTTGCTTTTGCCGCTTCGCCTGCTCCTCGCGACGCTTGTCATTTGCTTTTTGTTCCTCCTTGGCAAGGCGACGCATATATGATTCTTCGAGATCGTCTGTTGCAGTTCCCCTCTTGCGTTTCCGGTTGGGTGCTTCGGAAGTTTCTACCTCATCCTCTGAAGGTGCCTCCTGCATCTCCTCGTCTTCGTCTGCTGATCTGTCCTCCTGAGCTGCGTCGCTTTCCTCGTATTGTTCTTCGGCCTGTTCATCTTCGGGTTCTTCCTTTTTGCTCTTGATCGCGCTGGCAGTCAAAACGGATGGAGCTTGAACTGGACCGGCCTAGTCATTTAGAGATATTAGCAACCAATTCCTAATTTGGATATTATATCAATTGTACTCACACTCTTCTCGAACAGCGAAGCGACTGTGTTATCCACAGAGGCATTTCCAGCTAAAAAGGGAAGCGATGTGGACGGAGCAGTAGGTTCAGTCGCTGACTGCGACTGCGACTTGCTCTTTTTGCCCATATTGTTTGGTGATGAGTAAAAAGGTCAGAAATGGCAGTAAAACCGCGTCTCAATCTAGGCCAATTGTCAAAAGTTGGTCCTGTAAACCGCGCGATTTTTGAACTCTTGTAGCTCTTGACTTTTTTTTTTTTTTTTTTTTTTTGCGATGCGCTGGTCTTGGCGCGGACAGTGACGGAATCACGTGATGACATTGAATTTCCGGCTTGTCCAGACAACATTGGATGAATATGCATTGAACTACATTATAGGAGAAAAAAAAAAGGGTCTACATACACAATGATGCTTTCTTTGAAAGAACATCTACTATTCTGGTACAGAGAGCTCTCGAATTGCTCGGCCAAAGGGATGCCGGATTGATAAGTCCTTATCTGAGAGCAGTCGCTGGAGACGATACAGTAGATTGACTGCACGTCTTGCAGAAGAATTGATTGCGGGAAAGATAGAAATATAGTGTTCTTTCCTCTATATCCTATTTTACTCTCGCTCTTATTTACAGCCAGTGAGATGTGTTCCGATGTACAGAATGCCCTCTGCTGCTGATGACCGGGCGGTGAGTGTCGTGCGGCAGAATCCCGCCGTGACGCTTCTTTCGCTCGCTCTGCTTTCGCCCGCTGAAATCCTCCTCTCCCAGGCGCCTTTGGACTGTGCTCTGATATTTCTGCTGTGCTGCTGCTATTATTTGCTATCTATCTCGTCCAGTTGGTCTACTCTTTCTCTTGGCCCGTTCTCTTTTCCTCCTTTCTCATGCCGACTGTTCTCCCGCAACGCTTCACTTTCGTATTGCCGTCTTCGTGAAGCCCACACTACCGTCCTCCCTCCGTCCTTCTCGAGCCCCTACAGCGACACACATCTCGTCTGCGCAGTCTCCAAGTGAGGCTCTCCAAAGTTGGAGCCAGACACGTCCTCTCATATACAATACGTGTCGTCCTCCCCGGACGCCCGTATAACGTGTGGTGGTGGGAAATCGTGCTCGGTCGCGAGCCGCCGTGGTCGAGAGTTTCTGCTGGCGCATTGCTGAACGGTACGTGTTTGATGGTCTACACTCTTTTTGGTGATTCGTCGGATACCCTAGTTCATCGACCAGGGTCAACATGTTACCCGCAAAGGGAGGGAGTGCCTCTGGTTGGCGTCGCAGTCTGCCAGGGCCCGAGGAGCGCTTGCTGATGATGCTCTCACTGGGGCTTCAAATCTCCGCACCGCCTTCTGGGGGCTCTCCCCTTGAGCTACTCTTTGCTTTCCTTTTTGAAATTCAGTTTTCTTTTTGCTTTTATTTACAATCTCATGCTTCATGGCGCTTGAAGCGACGGTTTCACTGACATTTTCTCGGATTGACCCAGGCTCGGTCTCTTTTTGCCCTTTTCCCCTCCGCCCACTATCCTCGCTTTGACCGCCGGCCTTTCCTATTCCTCCTTTATACCTCTAGACCCTTGAGACAGACGACGGTATAAGGTCGTCGTTCATCCGATTTTTGTCTCTTTTGGTTTTTGCAACGCGGCCGTGCGCTTTCGCGTCTGACCCTCCCCCATGGAGGTGGCTGAGAGCAGAGAGCCGGCATCGGTTGGTCCATCAGCCGGGACTGGGACCAATGATGCCAATGGCGCGCAAAACCCTTTTCTGGACGATTCGCTTATCGATGACGGTCGTTCCAGTAGTTTGAGTGAACCTGATGATGTCTCGGATCATGAGCTGTCCCCTTACGGGTCACCCAAGCTTAAACCGGTACCCGAGAACGATTCAGAAGCGGAAACGGAACGTGTCGAAGATTCGCCCTATAAGAAGGGGAATAACATCGTTCTGAGTGCCAGTCACGGGCCCAGTCCCAGCAAACTGGCTCAGTCCACAACTTATGACGACGCTGAGGAGGATGATGAGCCTGTCGCGGACGATTCCCCGAGCAAGTCGCGCACCAAGAAGAATGGGATCACTGCAGCTATTGACGAAACGCCCATTTTGGATGACTCAACTCTGTCAGAAGGCGGCAAAAAGCGCAAGCGGCTAGGTTCGCTTGACGAGATCGGGATGGACTTTGGCGAAGATGAACCGCTCAAGAAGCGTCGCGGTTCCATCAAGAGTGACCTGAGCGACCCTCCCCCGGACGACCTGATTCTGTCACCTGTGCCGATCGAAGAGCCACCCAAAAGCAATGAAGACCAAACTCCGGCCGACGACGTTCCCGAATCCGATCTGCCATCGATACCCTCAAAAGCTAAAAAGGGTAAAAAGGGAAAACGTAAAGGACGGAAAGCCAGAGATGCTGATGAAGAGACTGAAGCTGGTGGTATCGAAGGTGATGACCACTTGGATGATGATGACACTGCCGAACGTGCGGACGAACCAGATGATGCTGAAGCCACTGCCAAGCAGGAAGAAGAGTGTAAGTTGATATAGCTCCCTATTCGCACCTATCTTGCTAACATGCTCTACAGCCTCGAAGAAGATGTCGGCAATGGAGTCTCTTGCGACGCTGGAAAAGGAGTTTGCGACACTACGTGACAAGTAAGCCTGGCCTATTACCCTTGGGTCCATACCCCTTGCTGACCGTCTCAGAATCTACGACGAGCGGATATCTAAGCTCAATCGTGAGCTGGAGATGCTCACCGGGCCGAATCCTACGCATCCGGAATACCTGCGCCAGCTCGAATGTGTTCAGCGCCATCGCGACGCCAAAATCCATTACGAGCAAACATTATACCGATATCGGATTTCATCGTTGATGAACAAAAGCTTGGCTGAGCGGGCGCAGATTCATAGCACCTTCTTCCAGCGAGTTCGCGACACCCGCGAGAGGCATGCAAGTTCCATCAGCAAGCAGTTCTATTCCATCCAACACGACCGCTTCAAGACTGAGGAAATTAGCCCTCACCATTCCATTCCATTCCCCACGCGCCGTTCGCAGCAAATTGCTCACCAGGCTGCCTACAACCAAGAGGTGTCTGTTATGGCTGGAGTGGCCAAGTATGTCGGTTTTCCGGCCGCACCGTCGTTAGCAGCCGCGCGACCCTCGGAGATCGACGAGGACATGGAAAAGATGGGGGTGAGTTTCTCCCAACATAGCTCCAGTTTAACCCTGTGAAACTAACTCTAAATCCTTCCAGATTGCCACGGAAACCCGAGCCGCGGTGTCACAATCGCAAACGAACTTTCCGCGCGTGACAGCCATGTCGTCGAATGCATTCCGTACAGCGGCAGAGGAAGCTTTTCTGGAGCACACACCGTGGGCCAATCCGCAGCATCCTGTTCATCAACAACAGATGCAGCAAAGGCCCCAGAATCGGGTCTTTGAGCAACCGCGAGCTCCACCATTCACCACTCCAGCGGCTCAGAAGCGGGTGGTCGACATCCATGCTCCCAACGGGTCAGCTTCTACAATTGCGGAAAACTCGTCCGCAAACAACACGCCGTACGGTACGGAACAAGAACCACAGTCGCACGGTTATAACCCGTTTGGGAATCACGACTATGATGCGGATCAACATTCAGGTTTCGGGTCACCAAGTGCCTCGCCGCTAGATGTACGAAAACCTCAGCTCCATTGGAACAATGCCTTTGATAGCAGACCGTCGCAAGAATTTCGGTCTGATCCCACATCCCGTAATAATATGGCCTTCTCCCCGCCATCTGGCCGACTTGGACTTTTCCATCCTACGGCTACAAAACGAGAGCCGTCACCGCCTATGCATTCAAAACCTATACTCCAGCCCAGAGGGATCCCTAGTGGGTCTGGCTCGAATCAGATGACAGCACGATAGAGCTGGATCTGTTACACTTCATCTCTTCTTTTTCGAGGGTTTGTTCCCTCATTGACTGGGCTTGGCTTTTTGTACAGGAAGGCATGTAGAGCGTTTGATGGCCTGCATAATTGGAAATACCAGGATGGATCAGCTTTTTCACATTGTTGTACTTTTTTCTTCTCTTTTCTTTTCTTGGAGTGTGTGAATACGGGCGAGTTTACTGGGATGCATTGGAGCCTCTCTCCAAGTTTCGATACTCACTTTTCGTTTTTTTTTTTTTTTTTTTTTTTTTTTTTTT